CGTACGTTCGTTCGTGTGTGTGTGTGTGTGTGTGTGTGTGTGTGTGTGTGTGTGTGTGTGTGTGTGTGTGTGTGTGTGTGTGTGCGTGTGTGTGTGTGTGCTTTGCTTTGTGGTGGTCATGATGATGATGATGGTGATGATGTCAATGTCAGTGTGTATGATATGAAGGGCGAATGACATCACAGTGTAGCAACAAGAAGCACGGTGATTGGGAGGAGCTTGCTTGCTTGGTGTGCAGTCTCATGGTTCGTTCATTCGTTCGTTCAAACAAAACACACATGCGGAAGCGAGGTGTGGTGTTGGCACACATGACAGCGCACAGCGCCGTCGGGGTGGGCAAGGGCGTGCATTGCTTGGGGCAGTTGTGTGTGTGTGTGTGTGCGTGTGTGTTTGTGCGTGTGTTTGCGTGTTTGTGTAGCGAGGGCAAAAGAAGAGGAAGAGAGGGGAGGAATGAGGAGAAACAGGGGGAGAGGCAAGGAAGGTGGGCGGAAAGAGTTCACTGAGGAGGAACGGGCAGGTAGGGGGTGGAAGAGAGACAAACGGTAACATAATCGACGAACATTCGAAACAGAAGAGAAAGCAGCAAAAGCACCATGCTGTTCTCACCCCACCTCCTCAACCCGCGACAATACGGAAGAAGAAGAAGAAGAAAGAAGAAGAAGAAAGAAGAAGAAGAAAGAAGAAGAAGAAGAAGAAGAAGAAGAAGAAGAAGAAGAAGAAGAAGAAGAAGAAGAAGAAGAAGAAGAAGAAGAAGAAGAAGAAGAAGAACCAGCAAAGATGCAACCACACGGTCCACACTAGACTACTGTGTCTTGCTGGTGAACACGGTGAGTTTGTCCGTATGCAGTTCCTCGGCCTTGCTGAAGGTGAACTTGCAGTCCTTGAGCGAGATGGTCCAGAAATCCTTCATGTTCTTGTACTCCTTACACAACGCCTTGAGATCGGCCCGGTGCTTCACATTCGACAGCCGCTTCACCATGGTGGTGTCAAAGTTTTCCAACACATGGTTCATCAAATCCGGCGAGATGCTCTGCGCCTGTGTGTGTGCGTGCGTGCATGCGCGTGTGCGTGTGTGTGCGTGCATGCGTGTGTGTTTGTGCGTGTGTGCATGTGAAGGTGTGTGTGTGTATGTGTGTGTGCATGTGAAGGTGTGTGTGAAGGTGTGTGTGAAGGTGTGTGAATGTTTGTGGACACAGACGGGCAAGAGGGGTACGCATGGTCATGCACCAAACCAAAAAACAGACATTGCACCAATACCATGACACGGACAGACGAGTGAGCATGGCAAGCAGAGATAAAAGCAGGCAGACATGGGCATGTACGGTCAACGTAAACAAACAAACGAACGTACAAACACACCGACAAACGAACGAAACCACACAAACACACACACACACACAAATACACACAAATACACACACACACACACACACACACACACACACACAAACACACACATACACACACACACAAACACACACATACACACACACACACACACACACACACACACACAACAACAACAACAACAACAACAACAACACGCAGATGCCACAGTCAAGCCAACCTCAAGAAGCTCATCCAAGGCAGCTTGCAGAGCAAGCCCAAGCGATGTCTTGCGGTAGTGGTCGTTGACTGACATGATGATGATCGCTTCGCGAGTGCTTGCTTGATGGTTGTAGAAAATTGACGACGCCACCAAAACTTTTCAACACGACCTGGCACTGCCGCGCACGATCACAGTCTCCGGCCTAAGTCTCGATCATTACAGTCTACAACCACAATCACACAGTCTCCAATCACAACTGCAGTCGCAGTCACAAGCGCAGTCACAAGCGCAGTCGTTCATCCACTTCACGGAAGCCATGTCGCTGGTTGTTGCGGTTGGCGCAGGGCTTGCCATTGCCGTGGTCGCATTTGTGGCCGTGCGCATCATGAGCAGCAACAAGAACGAGAGCGAGGAGGCCAAGTCCAAGAACAAGTACGGCGTCGTCCTGCCCAAGTTCAGCAGCAACAACAGCAACAGTGACACGAATACGGCGCCCGTTCGGGGAAAGGATGTGGCGTGCTCGCTCCATTTCCAAGGCATCGGCGGTAAGCCTGCAGGCCCTGCTGGCGTCGAGTCGCTGGGGATGCTGCAGGACTTCGCCCCATTCACTGCATGTGTCCGCGTGGAGGACCCGCGGAGCGTGCTGGTGGACAACCCGGACCTCACCGTCTACTCGCTGTTCGAGGACGACAAGGCCGTCGTGCTTGTGGAGCCGGCGCCCGTGAGCATCACCAAGGACCTCACGTTTGCTCGCACCTTCCACTATCAAGAGCTCCGGGGATCGGCCCACAAGCGCGCCGTCCTGCTCTCCTTCGCTGGCCTGCACAGCGCCGTCGAGGCTCTCAAGGCCGCCCACGGCTGCGCCGAGCCCGACGCCGAGCGTGCACTCCTGTCCCGCGTCGTCTTTGTGCACAGCACTGGCCGCTGCGGGTCCACGCTGCTCAGCAAGGCGCTTGGCTCTGCATATGGCGTGCACAGCATTGCCGAGCCCGACATCTACTCCGCCGTCTTCCTGGCGCTCAAGGAAGGCCGCATGACACGACCAGAGGCAAAGCAGGTCCTTCGTGACGCCACTTTCCTCCTTGCAGCACGTGCCGGTCTTACCTCTGACGCAGGCAGCTCGACTGATGCCACCAGCAGTGCCACTGCCGCGCTTGCTGTGAAGTTCCGCAGTTGGGTTGCTTTGGATGCAGATATTGTCCACGACGCCGTCCCAGAGGCAAAGGTGTGTGTGTGTGCTTGTGTGCTTTTGTGTGCTTGTGTGCTTGTGTACGCGTGCGTGTTTGTATGCGTCTGTGTGTGTGTGTGTTTGTGCTTGTGTGCTTGTGTGTGTGTGTATGTGTGTGGATGTGTGTGGATGTGTGTGTGCGTGTGTGCATTATGTCGCGGTGCCTATCAGTCCACTGCAATGTCACCGACCCTTTGTATGCACGCATGCCCCAAATGCAAATCCCTCGTCCGTCCGCGTTTGCTGGTTGTTGCCGCGCTGTCTCATCTGGCACGGTTGTCCACACACACACACACACACACACGCACACACACACACACACACACACGACACACACACACACACACACACACACACACACACACACACACACACACACACACACACACACACAGACACGGTCCGGTATATCCCCCAAACATCTATCCTCACGCCACCTCTGTTCTGCCGTGTTCGTTACATGCTGTAGAACCAGCTGCATGCTGGCTCGCTCGCGCGTGTGTTTGGCGAGGACGCGCACGGCCCTGCAGCGACAACCACGAGCAGCCGCAAGAACATCCAGGATCTCACCCACAACCCGCTCTACATCCGCGACAGCGATCTTGCACCCCTCAACGCCCTCCTCCGCAAGACCAAGCTCCCAGACACCACTGACTACATTCTCCCAGGCACCCTCACCTCGTTCCCACCCCTCAGCCAGGCAGATGCATGAGGTGCAGGATTGGAGAAGACCTTTCACCGTGCCCGTGTCTCACTCGCAGTCGTTGATGTCAATTCTTGTCTATTCGTCCCTTTGCTCTTCCCTGTGGGTTCCGCTCACAGAACACACACAGACACACACACACGCACAGACACACACACACACACACAGACACACACAGACTCACACACACACACACACGCACACACACACACAGACACACACACAGACACACACACACGCACACACACACACACACACACTCTCTCTCTCTCTCTCTCTTGTCATGGCCGCCGGTGGTTATTGTGGTCTTGTTGGTTCATTTTCAGTTACACGTGAACGTGCACACCGTTCCCCTTCAAATACAAAACAACAGATGCAGCAAACAAAAGCAGCAAAAGCAATCAAATCAACCCAAGTCAATCACATGCACACAGGCATCGACTATGGCGACAGATCATAACGGACCAGATGGGTGCGTGATATGGGCATCATCGTCGTCATCGTCGTTGACCTGCACAGGCAGTTACCCCGGGGGCACAGCGAATGGGGGTGCAGGTGCACAAAACAGAAGCATCAGGAGGGTGAGCACATGGGCACATGCACACACACACACACACAACTGTGAGGAGCAGATGTATGTATGTATGTATGTATGTATGTATGTATGTATGTATGTATGTATGTATGTATGTATGTATGTATGTATGTATGTATGTATGTATGTATGTATGTATGTATGTATGTATGTATGTATGTATGTGTGTGTATGTGTGTGTGTATGTATGCGTGTGTGTGATGTGCTGTGCCAACAACACCTGTCTTGAGGAACTGCCGCCAGTGGCCTTCTTTCTCCGTCCACCACGTGCCGTCCGAATGGCCTTCCTCGTCTCCTCGTACGCCTGGAGTTGCGCGTCAAGCAAGATCAGCCACAGACATGAGCACATACATATGGTGTAATGTGATGAAGGCAGAGGGCAAAGGACGTTGACACACACACACACACACACTAACATGCACGCAGGCACAGGCAGGACACGTTCACAGACACAGACACAGACACAGACACATGCACAGACACAGACACAGACAGACAGACACACATGCACACACACACGCACTTGTAAGCACACAGGCACACACACACACACAACCTGTTGGAGGTCAATGCCGCTTTGCGCGTCATTTGCTGCGTCTTGCTGCTGTTCCAGTTCATACTCGTATTGCAGCAGTTGTCGCTGAAGCGCAAGCTGCTCTTGCATCGCCTTTACCAACTCCAAGTCTTCCTCCACCTGAGAGAACAAAGGATGAGGTGGAGGGGATGGTGAAGTCGTGACCAACGAACACCGATGCAGGGCTTGAGTCGCATACGCACGCATATCATCACAGGTGCACACACATACACCCACACCCACCCACACACACACCCACACACCCACACCCACACACCCACACCCACCCACACACACACACACACACACACACACACACACACACACACACACACACGCGCAACAGATGAGCGTACCGCATCCTCCGACACATCATCTTGTCGGTGTTGGTGGCTATCAGCTTTGGGAACCGTGTGTTTGCGATGTCCTTTCTTCTTTCGTCCAGATGATGATGATGAGGATGTGGAAGATGAAGATGAACCCGCGGATGGATATGTGGCACTGCTAACGAGACAGCAGCAGGGTGCAGTGTCACACATGCAGTTGGTGAGCAGTGGCAACGCAGTAAATGGGCAATAAATGGACAGTGGGTGATGTCGGGTGGTGTCAGCCTTGACATGAGTGTGTACTTGGGGGAGCACAGGTGGATCAGTGAATACGTACGCCTTGCAGTCGCTTGCGGAGCCTGGAGTCGAGCTGGAAGGGCTGTTGCTTCAAAAGCACAAATGGTGGTTTGGGCATCCATGGGTGTATGGAGCGAGAGGGCACAAGACGAGGCACAGACACAGACACAGACACAGACACAGGCACAGACACACACAGAGACACATACAGAGACACACAGGCACAGACGCATAGGCACAGACACAGACACAGGCACAGACACACACACAGGCACAGACACATAGACACAGACACACACAGACACACACAGAGACACAAACACACAAACACATAGACAAGCCCACGTACCTCTTGTGGATGGACGGCAACTTCACGACGGCTGGAATGCCAGTCTTCTTTGGTCTCGCCCTACCAAAACCACAAACCACAAAGCCACACGTGTTGTGTGCATCGGGTTAGGCAGACCAAGTTCACAACCAGAGAGCTGCCTGCCATCATCACACAGGTCGCACGACGAGCACAAACAGCACACAAGCAAGCGAGCAAGCAAGCAACAAGCGTGCCGGTATCGCGTCGCCATCTCGGTGTCCGTTTATTGTGAATAACACCCACCAAGTTTCTACAACTGTTTGCATCTCTCATGGTTCACCACCCCACCACTTGAACACGGCTCGGCTTCTTGCCGTAAGTAGTTTCCAACATCATCACTTCAAACCCACTCTCACTCTCACACACTATCATACTCACGCACTCGATGGTTGTGTACAAAAGATGAGGGGGGGGGAATGGTGAAACAAGTGAACGATCCATAAGAAGTAAGTAAGGTCATCAAGAAGGGAACAGGACAACGAATGCAGCAAAGCGACTGGCATGTGCGAAGTTGACTGTCAGAGACGAAGGCATTGTCAGAGAGTGAATAGCAAGTACAACGTGAGTTCAGGGACGAGGGCATGTCTCTATGATGCCATGGTGGCAACGAGCTGTTGCCCTCCATGCATCTGCTGAAAGCATGCAGCGACCAACGCCTGCAGGTACGTTTCACAGTGCGTGTCCACTCCTTGCAGGTTGATAGGGCACACAACCTGTCGCACACACGCATGTACCAGTACGTACAAGACAACAGGAGACCCATGCAAAGAAGCAAATGAGCGAACCAGACACGAAGAAGCACACGAGCAAGCAAGCAATCAGCGACGCTGCGCGATGAGATGCTGGCGGCCAAAGCACAACAACGAGCACAACAAAGCGCACAACACAAACACACAACATCCGCTCGCATTGTGAACGCGCGCCCTCTCCCCCTCTTTTCGTTCTTTCCACTTCCTGGCAACCTCCACGCCCTCACAGGGCACAAAGCGGCAACTCACGTTGATTATGGCTGTGCCGTGCAGCAGTCGCTTGGCGATGATGGCATGCGCAAGCAGGCGCAGGAGGAAGAAATCCTGAAGGAGGGTGCGCACTGGCTCGCGCTGTGCATCGCGCAGTGATCGCATAAACACCTCCAACAGACGGTCGTATTCCCTGTTTGGTCGCGTGCGAAGACAGACGCAATGTGAGCAACATCCACCAGGAGTTGTAGTGGTGGATAAACTTTGTGTGTGTGTGTGTGTGTGTGTGTGTGTGTGTGTGTGTGTGTGTGTGTGTGTGTGTGTGTGTGTGTGTGTGTGTCTCACTTGCGGTGGGGCGCCATTTCGGCCGCTGGGCCCCCAAGCTGCTGCACAACACCCTGGAACGCAACAAACGGATCTGAACAAGGACATGATTCACCAATACAACAACGGTGACAGGTGAGCGCAGCACGTCATGATATCAGCGACACACAGGGAAGCGCCAAGGGCAAGGAAGATAACACAGGCCAGAAAACCAGTATCAAGATTCACACAACTGCATGAATGACACTGTGGTACAAGGACACCCACACAGACAGACAGACGGACGCACACAGACACCCACCCACACAGATAGACAGACAGACACCCACAGACAGACACCCACAGACAGACAGACACACACACACACACACACACACACACACACACACACACACACCACACGAGCCGGACCTGCGAGAAAGGCTGTGAGGCAACTGCAGGGGAAGAACTGCTGCCAGGGCGCGGGCCAGGGACCAGGGGCGGTGATCAGAAACAGCGGCATCCCGTGCTTGTTGCTCACAGACAGTTGCTGCATGGCATGATATGGGTAATGTGCGAGTGAGAGCGGGGGAGGGCCGGGGATCAGCAAGGAAGGGAGAAGGAAGTAATCGCAGGCAAATTATTCGCAAGAAACAGAGCCAACGCACACAGACACACAGACACACACAGACACACACAGCGCCACCAGGGCGACTGACCAGAAAGGCGTCTGCGGCGGGGGATTCGATGATGAGGAGGAGAGGAGTGCGAATAAGGAAGGCCAAGTCCTGTGGATAGAGCTTTGATTCCATTATCGCCCCATCTTTCTCCGTCTCAAGCACCAGCGCATCTGGACGCAAAGCGAACAGTGCACCAGCAGAGAGTGTGAGGTGCGTGTGTGTGTGTGTGTGTGTCTGTGTGTGTGTGTGTGTGTGTGTGTGTGTGTGTGTGTGTGTGTGTGTGTGTGTGTGTCTGTGTCTGTGTGTGTGTCACACCATTTTCGGGCGAGGCGTCCGCGGAGATGTTGAGGACGAACATTGAATTTGCCGGCAGCTCCTGATGACCGCACGCATGGAAAGTCGGATGGCCCGTGTTAGCGAAGCGAATTGCTGTAATCAACCACAAACCCACAGAGACAGTCACGCAGACACAGACACACAGACACACAGACACCCACACCCACACACACCCACACACAAACCCATACACAGACATGACTGCGCGTACTCTGAGGGCGATGCTCGAGAATGCGAGGAGCTGCGTAACGTCGGGCATGTGCAGGCCGGCCTTGTGCGCGTGCAAATCGTCTGCCCGAGGTGGTCAAGAGCAAAGTCGTGATGCGGGGAGGAGTGGTGGTGGCGTGCAATGGGTTAGAGTTGGTGGCGCCTGTGGCTGATGACGCTCGCGCAACAACAAAGGCAAAAAAACAAATGCAAGATTGCAACCGCACACCCACCACACCCTTACCTGCTTTTGTGCCTGGCGCTATTTCAAAGAGCTGCATGTGGAAGAGGATGTTGAGGGTGATTTCGCTAAAGGCGAGCCTGTTTGTGGCGGCGTGCCGCGGGCTGCGGGAATCCACAACGAGAACTTCACGCACATGTGTGCGGTGGTCAAATTTCGCCATCGCCTGCAGCGTTGCAGTACACGCGGAGGTGTGAGTGCACACGACCAAAGACGGGCACGAACGCACGCACGCACAAAAGTTACACAAGCACACACACACACACACACACACAGACACAGACACAGACACAGACACAGACACAGACACACAGACACACACATGCGGACGCACAGACAACCCCTACCTCTGGCTTGGCGCGGCGGCAGGGGAAGTTGACGGAAGTGATGGCGTCGCCCATGGCCACGGCGGCGTCGAATTCGCGCTCCCACAGCTTTGCCCGCTCAGGCGACGCAATCTCGTGCACTTTGGCGCGGATGCCGCGCAGAAGCGAGCACAGGTTGCTGGAGCACTGCACGCCAGCCCCGCCCTCGCCGCGGTGCGGGCAGTTGCCGTACAGCAGCAGCGCCGTCACGGCAAACCGGGCGTAGTACCGCAGCACGCGCTCCTCGTTCCATACGCCCTCCAGCAGCGGCGGGTTGATGATCGCCCGGGTGGGCTTGCGCGGGTTGGCTGGCGGCACCACCGTTGTCTCCCCAAGGTCGCGTGGCGGCGTTGGCGCCTTGGTCCGCGTACGGCGGGCTGTGCTGCCCTGCGGCCCATCATCGGCGGTCGCTTGCGCTGCGTCGCTGGCGTCGCTCGGCGTTGGCGGGCCCTCTTCCTCCGGTGGCGGGATCAGCGACGTCAGATACGCGCTCGTCACCTCTGGCGGGACCCCGCCGCCCTTCTTGGCGGCAGCTGGCACTGTGCCCTTGTTGTCGTTGTCGTTGTCATGGTCATGGTCATCATCATCGTCGCCGCCGGCCTTGGCAGAGAATGCCGTGGCGTTGCCATTGCCTGTGGATGCCTTGGCAGCCTTGCTTTGCTGTTCCGCAGAAGGTTCTGTCGAAGCCTCTGCGTGCGTTCGCTTTGAGGTGTGCGACCTGTCATCATCGTCGTTGCGTGTGTGTGTGCTGGTGCCCGAGACGTCAGCTTGGGCTGTGGTCTCGGCGTCCTTGGACGGCCCGCTAGTTCCGGTGCCCGCACCATGGCTGCTGCTGCTGCTGCCATTGCGGCCAGTGCTGGGCTTGCCGTCTTTGACAGCAGAGGTCGAGTCTGTTGCTGCAGGCTTGTTGAAGTAGCCGCGGTCGTGGATGGACTGGTAGAAGGAGAGGGCCTGCTTCAGGTATGTGGGGTTGCCGGTCCGCGTGTAGTAGTGGCCGTAGAGCTGGGCAATACGGTTGGCGATCTCGCCCACGCGCAGCCTGCTGAGGGCGCCTGCAGCCATGAGGGTATCGCGGTGCTCGCGCTGGAGCTTCCACAGGCGGGAGAAGGCGGCAAAGGCGCGGGTGAAGAACGGCTGCCAATGGTGGGAGCCGTACTCCGGTAGCGTTCCCAGTTGGGAGAAGAGGCCATGGCACTCGCGGTGGAGCGACTGGTACTCGCGCACAATGTCTGCGGCGCTGCTGCTCTTGCTGGCGCCAGACTTGGAGGCCATCCTCAAGTGGTGTCGGATGGGGTGCGTGCGGTATCTAGCTGTGAGGAAGTTGCTGGCGATGACAGGGCTGCTTGTTGGCGGCGCTGAGGGTGTGGTGGTCGCTCGTGGTGTGGGTGGCTGCACTGGGCAAGGCAGGTGCAGAAGTGGTGGTGGTGCAGGACGTTTGTGTCCCTGCTGCTGCTGGTGCTGCTGCTGCTGCTGCTGCTGGTGCTGATGTGGATGCGGCTGATGCGGCTGACGCTGGTGGTGTGGTGCTGGCGCAAGCACAGCTGGCTGTGCGTGTCCACGCATGGTTGTGTTTGTGTGTTTGTGTTTGTGTTTGTGTGTGTGCGGTATGTGGGATGTGGTGTGTGTGTGTGTGTGCGGTATGTGGGATGTGAGATGTGGTGTGTTGAGCGGTGGAAAGGGTGGAAAGGGTTTGTTCATTCAACAACAAAGGTGCATGCACACACACGAGGCAATCTTTGTTGGGTCGTGGGATGAATGAAAAAAAAAATGACACAACCGCCCCAGGCTCTCACGTAGACTTCCAACAGTCGACGTCACAAATCATATGGCACGCCAAGCAGCTGAAGCAACAGCATCCACCACTCAAAGCACAGAACAGGCGAAGCCAAACCAACCTCTCTCGCGGTCTCGGCACGGTGACCTTGCTTGCTTGGAAGCAGCAGGGTAAACAGCAGAACGCACCAAACACACACACGCTTCGCGCTTCGACACAAAAACAGGCGGACCAGAACAACTGGTGGAATAATGGTGGGAATCATCAACAAAACATCTATCTGGTACCTTGTGACGTTCTGTTCATGTCAAGAAAACAATAATGTGAGTTTGATTCCATGCATATGTAAACAGTGGAAAGTGCGTCTTGCGTGGCGCTTCTTGTGTGCCTTTTTCCCGTCTTTGCTGCCGCCGCTGCTTTCCACGTGTGGCCGTTGGTCTCTTTGATGTGAGTGCAAGTGGGCGCAACAACAACAAGAAGCGAGAAGTGTCGTGGCAGGCGGTGTGTGTGTGTCTGTGTGTGAGAGCCTGTGTGTATGTGTGTGTGTGTATGTGTGTGTGTGTGTGAGCCTGTGTGTGTGTGTGCGTGCGTGTGTCGTGTTGCTTGGTGCGGACAATGTATGTCACATCACGTCACACACATCACGCCAGTTTCATTTCATGTCACTTGTCTCATCACAGCTGTGGTTATTGTTCAATCCATTTCACACAGCGAACAACAACAACAGGAACAACAACAACACAGGCACTTCAACCCACCAACCACCAACCATGGTCAAAATCTGGCAGACGCAGCACATCTTCGAGTGAGTTGCCAAGCGCTCCCATCGTGTGCGCGCGCAAATGTTGGTGTGTACATGTGTGCGTGTGTGTGTGCATGCATTTGCGTTGTTGACACGCTCGTGTGCACGCACATACCCTCCTCTTGTTTCTTCCATCAACCTCACCCGTTCCTTCACTCACTCACTCACTCACTCACTCACTCACTCACTCACTCACTCACTCACTCACTCACTCACTCACTCACTCACTCACTCACACCCTTACACCCTTACTCGACTCACCCATTCTCTCCCTCACTCACTCACTCACTCACTCACTCACTCACTCACTCACTCACTCCCTCCCTATCCGCACCACCTGCTTATCCACTCTCTCCATTACATACACAGCCATCCTTGGACACATGTGACGTCCGGGCACTGGCGCAAGTACCCCAACCCATACAACCCGGCGGTGCTGTCCACGGACATTGTGGACCGCAAGGTCGAAGATGGCGTGCTTCACTCCAAGCGGCTCATCACCACAAACTTTCAGGTCCCAGGATGGGTGCGCAGGGTAAGTTCCCACACCACCTTGAGTATTCAAGATCAACGCGCCTCCCCCCCTCTTTGTTCACCTAACACGCCCACACACGCACACGCGCGCTTTCGTGCATGCATGGCTTGTGAACAAAGGCACCCTGCGGTATACGTGGGGGTGTGATGTATCGTGCGTGCGTTTTCTCTGCACACACCACCATTGCCATTTCCCACCGTTTTGCCGCTGCTCCCGTCGTTCCGCTCAATCACAACACGCGTACACATATACACATACATACACATACACACAAACATACACGTACTCGTACACGTGTACATGTGCATGCGCGGCTTGCACAATGATGCTCCAACTCACGTTGCAACTGTTTGTGATGGTTGTGTTTCTCGTCTGTCCTCCTGTTGTGATTCTACCATTTATCAGCTAATTGGGTGCAACTGCATTCACGCCATCGAGGAGTCCAAGGTCGATCCAAGGACACAGAGCCTGGAAATGGTGTCGAAGAACGTGAGTCGAGGCAGTTTGAGGCAGTTTGCTGTGGAGTCTGCGCTTGTGTGTTGGTTGTGCTTGTTACATCGCCCTGCATGCTTGTTCCATCGCCCTGCATGCTTGTTACATCGCTGCAACACCACATCAACCCCTCCCCGGCCCATCACCACGTTACCCAAACAACAACAGCCAGCATGACCTCACCTCTTTCGCTATCCTGCTTATTGCTGCTGTCCCCTTTCCTTTGTTCCTGCTCAACAGGTTACGTTTTGTAATCTATTGAATGTGAAGGAGTCCATCACATATTCGCCCGACCCCTCTGATCCAAACAAGTACGCTCAAGCCCCATTGCCCATTGGCCTGCTCTTTCCCCCCTGGTGTCAACCACGACGATGCGTGTTCTGTCTATTCGATTCGTTTCTCCCGATGTGCCCACATTGCGCGCGTGCGCTGGCCGACACTCACCATTTATGTGCTTTCGGTTGATGTGCTAGGACTGTGATGACACAAAAGGCGGAAGTGAGCGTGCCGTCCATGACTTATGTTGAGAAGACCCTGACCGACTCCATCGCCAAGAACTCCAAGAAGGTACAGGCAGGGGGAGGGAGGGAGGGAGGGAGGGAGCGCGTGCACCTTTTGATGAAATTGTGAGCGATTGCGTGAGTGAGAGCGTAAGTGCACGAGCGCGTGGGAGCATGAGAGAATGCGTGTGAGGGCATGGGAGCGTCAGACAATGCGAGAATGGGTGAATCAGTCAGAGCAGACACACACACACACACACACACGTACACACACACACACACACACACGCGCGCGCGCATGATGGCGATGACAGTCTTAGCTCACAAACTGTGTTGACATTCTTAATTGTGACAGGGTAAAGAAGCGATGGAATGGGTCATTGCCAAGATTGCTGGTGACCTCGAGGAGCTGTCATGATGTGATCATCAACAAACTCCCTCCCTCTCTCTCTCTCCCTCTCCCTCTCGCATTGTTTCGCATCTTCTCGCTGTCCGTGTGTATGTGTGTGAGGAAGAGAGAGTGTGTGTGCGATAATGTGTTTGTGCATGCGCGTTTCCTTTGTGTGTTTGCGCTGATGTGTGCGCGGCATCAAACCAACATGTCTGTGTCCCACATGGCCAGTGTCACGGCCCAAACCCGTTGTACTTCTTCTTCTTCCTCCTCCTCCTCCTCCTCCTCTTCTTCTTCTTCTTCATCGGCTCGATAAGTTTAGGATGTCTCCGCTTCCCTCACCCTCCTTTTCAGCGTTGTTTCTTTTTCCTTCTGCTTTCCCCCGTCCCTTCTCCTCTCTATTGCCTCGTTGCTTATCTGAAGACCGCACTTGTGTTACTCCCTCTTTCTACAACAGCCAATGACGTCTGTTCCTTCATTGAATGGACACATAGAAGAGAGATTGTGCGTATGTGTGAGAGAGAGAGAGAGGTGAGTGAGGTTGGGAGAGGGTGTGCGAGACACGCAGGAACACAGACAGACAGACAGACAGACAGACAAACACACACACACACACACACACACACACACACACACACACACACACACACTTGTGAAGAAATGTCTTTGATGTTTTTGCTAAATTTCCCGACAGCAAACGCCAACAACGCATACATCCAAACTCCACCATCCTCCATCCACTCTCTCTTGCTTGGAAGCCAACCATCGATATGGGGCTGACCCTCTCCACCGTCTTCAACACGCTCTTTGGCACCAAGGAGCGCCGCATCCTGATGGGTACGCCTGAGGGCAACCAAGCTTGCGTGTGCCTGGAATGCTATTGTTTTGCGTTCTCCCGCCCCCTCCTTCGGCCGGTTTCCGCTTGCCCACTCACACGCTTGGTGTTCTGATGATGATGATGATGATGATGATGATGATGATGATGATGGTGCCAGTCGGTCTTGACGCTGCTGGCAAGACCACCATCCTCTACAAGCTCAAGCTCGGCGAGATTGTCACGACCATCCCAACTATTGGTACGCAGCACATGGCACTGTCCTTACCCTTACAGTTCTGTCCACTTGAGCCGATACAACATTTGTTGTCCTGTGTTATTCACGTCGCGGCCATGTGTGCCTCTCTCCATCATGTGACTGCTCCTTGAACCACCCACAACCACACCACTGTCGTGCCATTGCATTGCTGCACCAACAACACATCTCTTCCCAAACACAAACCTCCATTTGACCTTTGACTCAACACCACCACTGTCTCTTTCCTTTTGTCTGCAGGATTCAACGTGGAGACGGTCGAGTACAAGAACATCAGCTTCACCGTGTGGGACGTCGGTGGCCAGGACAAGATCCGCCCCCTCTGGCGTCATTACTTCCAAAACACCGAAGTATGTTGTTGTGTTCGTGGCTCTTGTGGTTATTCTTGTCATGATGCTGCTGTGGTGGTGGTGATGATGGTGACATGGTGTATTGCCTGCTGTTGTCACCTCGTGTGTGTGTGTGTGTGTGTGTGTGCATGTGCATGTGCATATGTGTGTGTGTGTGCGTGTGCGTCGTAGCCCTTCCTTTGTCTCACTTGGGTGTGCATCATCTGCTTTTGCGAACTTGCCAATGCTCTCCTCGCCTTCCACAAACTGCGCTCCTCAGGGTCTCATCTATGTTGTGGACAGCAACGACCGCGAGCGCATCAACGAGGCGCGCGAGGAGCTGAACAAAATGGTCGGTACATCATTGCACGCTTCCCTGCCACGCTGTACCTTCTGATGACCAGATGAGAGAGCACACCCACCCACCCACACCCACACACACCCAGTCTCTCTCTTTCTCGCATGTACACTTCCGTACACACAAAGGACCCGTACACCCATCGCACTCACACGCACTGACTGACAGATGTGCTTGGACAGCAAGCTCACATGCATGTTATTTTTGTTTTCTTTCGTGGTGCTCACACCGTTCATCGTAGCTCGAGGAGGACGAGTTGCGAGATGCCACCCTCCTCGTCTTTGCCAACAAGCAAGATCTGCCCAACGCCATGTCTCCTGGCGAGATTACGGAAAAGCTTGGCCTGACCCAACTCCGCTCCCGCAAGGTTCGTATCGCCCTCACAGGCTCATGCTCCTCATGGCACTGCCCGTGTGGCTGCCTGCCAACCTCTACCCCCTCCCCTTCGTCCTGTGGTCATCCTCCATCGTTTTTGTCTCTTCCACGTGTTGGCCTGCCCCTCTGCCGCCAATCTCACCCGCGCCTCGTTGGCACCATCCTGCCTGCCTGCCTGCCTGCCTGCCACCAGTGGTACATCCAGGCCGCGTGCGCTACACAGGGCGAAGGCCTGTACGAAGGCCTCGATTGGCTCTCCAAGGAGCTCGCCAGCAGGCCCTGATGACTTGACAGTGCAACCCTGGTCTTTGCGCCCATACACACACAACTCCCTGCATGCTCGCGCCCACTCGTGCTGTCCCTCTCTCGTCTTGTCGTTCGTTGTCCTGCACACGTTCTTGTGTTTTTGCTTCCTGACTCTGGCTGGCTCTGCTTACGTTCAATCAAAGTGACCAATAAAGAACAACACACACACACACACACAAATACACATGACACGCATCCAACAGCAACAGCAAGGCATGTCAATCAACAGGCAGCGCAAGTACATAAATGTGCAAGTGTGTACACACAAAACAAGTTGGAATGAAGAGAAAGAAACGGTTCCAACCGATTAACAACACACACACACACACACACACACACACACACACACACACACACACACACACACACACACACACCCACAGACACCCACAGACACCCACAGACAGACAGGCACAGACAGACAGACAGACAGACAGACAGACAGACAGACAGACAGACAGACAGACAGACAGACAGACACACACACACACACACACACACACACACACACACACACACACACACACACAGGTCTGCTTTTCATGCGCCTGGGACCCAGTCGTCGTCATCTTCGTTGTCGTCCGGATCATCCTGCAGGTTGTCGTCATCACCGAGCCCAGCGCCCGTGAGCGCACGGCGACTGCGGCGGCGTTTGGGCTTGGAGGTCGACGCCTTTCTTCCCGCGCGCCCCTTATGCGTTGCACTCGCACTCGAAGACGAAGTACTTCGACTTTTTGGTGTGCTGGATGCTGCTGCCATCTTGGCGCGCTTGCTTTGCAGTTGATGACCTTCATCATCATCGTCGTCGTCACTCTCATCCTCCTCTGCAGATGCCAAGCTGCGGCGGCTGTTGAGGCGCGAGGCACGGCTTCCCTGAACAACATGAGGGTATATGGGGGGGGGGAGCGCAAACGAATGTAAGAATGCATGTGTTGTTCAAGTATGCATTTGAAATCGATCATTGTGGACACCCACGACGAAGAGCTCAGACGCGAACACACACAGACACATATAAGTATGCACACATAAGCATGCACACACACACACACACACACACACACACACACACACACACACACACACACACACACAACACACACACACACACACACACACACACACACACACACACAAACCTGGCGAGAAAAGGCGCGTGCACGGCCAGAAGCGGTTCTTCTCATTGGGGATATGGAATCGTCAACGGGGGCAAAATCCGGATGCTGCTCGCCTTCTTCCTCCAGCTTGCGGAACTGCAGATTCAAAGCACTGTGTCACTCGAAATCAAACGCGAAGAGGCATGGCTGCGGTTGCAGTGTATGTGTATGTATGTGTGTGTGTGCGTGCGTGTGTATGTGTATGCATGTGTGTGTGCACGTCGGTGTGTCATGCGAGTGCACGTCGGTGTGTCATGCGAGTGCGTGTGGATTGAGCGCGTGCGTGTTCGTGGCTTTACCAAGAGATATTGGGCCATCAAGTCGCGAATCTCCAGCTGGGCGTAGTTTTCTGTGTCCAAACAATGGAGTGCAATGCCACAAACTTGGTGAGCAACACCACAGCATCAGCCAAGGTAAACCCACGCAAAGCTAAGCAGAGCCAAGCAAATCAAACCACACACACACACACACACACACACACACACACACACACACACACAAGGAAAGCGAACCACACGCACAAGCAATGCAAGCAAAGCAAGCGTACGTGTGACGCCGCAGCATTCTGGGTTCCACATGAGGCCGATCGGGCGCAGCGCTCGCGCACGTGTCTCCGTGCGCGTCTTCAGATCGCTGTTGGTGAAGGCAAACCAGCGTGTGAGAAGAGCATGCTACACTGACCGTCAAAAAGCGGTAACGGGGTCAGTGCACGTCCATGTTGGAGTCACGCCAGAGCCCCAACATTCATCGACGTACCTCTCGTGGACGTTGTATTTCCTCATGAGAAACATCTTCACCAACAGCATCAGCTCCAAGATTTGCTGCGACTCCATCAAGCTCCGAAACGCGAGTTCGTTCCCCCCGTGCACCCGACCTTGACACGCACACACGCAACAAGAGCGTGAGTTGCTTCTCACGCCACTCGAGCACACGAAACAAAGCGAATGAATTGCACACACACACATGGTGGTGTGTGGTGTGTTGCCTGCTTTCGCTTTACTCTTCCGGCTCGACATTTTCAGCATCGTCACTCGGTCCGTTGTTCTCACCTGCGAGTTCATCGACGGACATGGCATCAAAATCATCGTGCACCTCGAGACCAAGGCTCGATGCAACATCCTGTCCCATGCACAATCATTGCGTCAGTGAGCTTCAACTTTGGTTCCAAAACACACAAACACACACAGACACAGACACAGACACAGACACAGACACAGACACAGACACACACACACACACACAGACACACACACACACACACACACACACACACACGCACGCACGCACGCATGCACGCAGCCACGGGCATTCATGCACGCGCGACACGGGGCTTAGCAATACCATGACAAGCTTGGTTGCACGTGTCGATGTGAGGGAGTCAATCTTCGATACAACAGTTGCTACTTCATCCATGTGCTGGTACTCAAGCGTGGCCAAGTTGTCCACAGCAAACAGGGACAGCTGCCAATCGGCTTTCACCGCGTTCTGTGCAAGAAGGGTTGGTGGTTGGTATCACAAGTCATTCATGCCATTGCATCGGGGGTGTTGAGATGCACAAGGGAAAACAAGCACCACAGGCAGCAAGGCAAGCTCATGAGGCAGCAGCAGAATGTGCCGGATGTCGCACCTTTTGAAAGCTGGCATCTACCAGCCCGCTCACAAACTGCCGCCGATCTTGCCTTCGCCTGCGCATTCAAAGCAACCGCCGCATTCACACGCACACAAGTTGAGCGATGGGAATGAGTAGCAAGAATGAGTGGTGAGATTGAACTGCAAGGGGTGGCAGAGGACATGGGCACGGCAGGGTGTACGAGCACGACAGAGCGGCGCGATGCTAACAATAACGAAGCGTGGACTCACTTGTACAGGTTGAACAAGCCCTTGAGGAGCGCGTGCTTTGTGCTCTGGTGCCCGACATATCCACGAACTGCAATCGAAGCCAGAACAACTTGCGTGAGCAATCATTGAGCACGACAACCGCAGGTGTGTATGCCGGGGAGGAAGCTGTGGTGCGCGTGATGATCAAGAGTCAGCAAGAGCTAGCACGAGCCATCGAAGGGCAGCAGCAGCCCCGTGGAATGGGTTGCCAGGTGTGCTGTACCTGTGCTTGCCGTGTGCCGCTGCAGCTTGCGCTGCGCCGTGTACACGCCGGTGATGGCATCGCGCCCACGTGATGTCAAGAACTCATATCGGCGCGTTGCCAGCTCCTCCAGCAGCTTTTTCGCCTGCAGCGGCACAAGCGCAAAAGAATACGTGAGCGGCAGAAAAAGTGTAGAGAAGAGATGGGATGAATGGAGGTGGAGAGGAAGGCAAGCGTGGGGCAGGAAGAATAAAGGGAAGACAAAGAAGGTGGAGCAGACGCGAGTGCAGATCAGCTTCGAGAAGCATACAGTGGCATGAACAACATGGCGGTTCCCACTCACCTGAACGGACGTTTGTGAGACCACGCCCGCAGCCAGGCCATCCGATGTCGCTGCAACAAGCACGTCCACAAACTGTGACCAGAGCACACATTGGTGAGCAGGTATGGGTAGAGGTGCTTCCATCATCCGCACTCGACACTCTCCTCCAATTGTAGTTCGGGGAAACAAAGCAAACGGGTGGCGCCAGCGCGTTCGTGCGAGCAGCGGAACGAGCAAAACACAAACACACACAAGTGCGAGCTTACGTTCATGGGATTGACGAGCCCGCGGCGTTGTACGACGACGAGCAGTTGCAGCGTGGCACGGCGAACTTGTGGAGATTCGTGTGTTGCATTCTCATGAACGAGCAGCTCGAGTGCGGCAATGAGCGTGGCGCTCACCCTGTGGGTGTGGTTGCACATACACAGAGCAAGGCGGTGAGGCCAAAGCTTGTAAGACCTTGAATACAAGGCACAAGCAGCAGCGATCTCTATCGTGTGCATCTGAAACGGCAAAGGCTTACCCAGATTCACCTCCACCAAACTGCGCCAACTCTCCTTTGTGCGCATGTTCTGTTCGAACCAATCCAATCAGCAACATGGTGCGTGTGTGAGCAAATGATGGTTTGCTGAAGCACCCATCGAAAAGAACAGTGCCAATCATTCACACAACCCAGATATACATATACAGCGGCGCATGCTAGCAGTTGCACGTACTCGACTGGTGTTCCAGCTGCCGCTCTTCTTCCGTCAAGAATAACTGAAACAGCATAGTACATGGACAGACAATTCCAGGCGTTCGGGCGAGCGAAAGAGTAAGTGGCATGCGTGGAAAACAACGCGTGTGGGTGCGTGTGTAAATGTGAACACGCGTGTGGGTGTGTATAAATGTGAACGTGTGTGTGTGTGTGTGTGCATGCCAGCATGTGTGCACGCGCTCAAAAATATAACATTCCCACCCCCTGGTCCTCCAGAACATCTGCAAGCACAGCGTCAAAAATCACGCACATGCAGAGCCTCCAGGGTGCGGATGCGAATTCGCTCGGCGTCGCTGGTTAGATGTGTACGCAGCAACTCAACGCTCTCCTTGCGAAGAATTAAGGATGCGTGTTGGACAAAAAAGTGGCCTGATGTGCGAAGAAAGTCAACAGGCAATTATGAGGACATGAGCAACGAGGAATCGACCGTCATTCACGTGCGTGTGTGTGCGTGTGTGCGTGTGTGTGCGTGTGTGTGCATGTGCGCGGGGCATTCGGGGAGAAAACACAATCGAGCACCACCTACCCAACTACAAACTGCATACAAACTGTAAGGCACGCACCAAATGCGGTGATGGCTGCTTCAACCACGCCAACATCGTGCAGAGCGGCAAATTGCAGCAGCATCTTGTACACAACGTCTGCAATGCGGTCCTGTGGAGGGCAAAGCCCAGCAGTCGCACCACAAAACGAAGCAGTACCGATCATGAGCGATAGACACATTGAAGTGCGTGGAAGCGCAAGATGAAGAAGAACAACAAAAGTGCGCACGCAGCAACGCAGCAATGCACGAACGTCCAAGAGTTCGCGGTCCGGGCTGCGATCGTCAAGGTCTGCATGGGGCGCAATGAGTGTTTTTTGAGGGCGGGGGCAGGTGAATGAGTGAATGATTAGTGAATGGCCGTGAGAGTGCGCGAGCGAGTGACTGTGCAAGTGAGGAAAGCCGTGAGTGAGTGAGTGAGTGAGTGAGTGAGTGAGTGAGTGAGTGAGTGAGTGAGTGAGTGAGTGAGTGAGTGAGTGAGTGAGTGAGTGAGTGAGTGAGTGAGTGAGTGAGTGAGTGAGTGAGTGAGTGAGTGAGTGAGTGTGTGTGTGTGTGTGTGTGTGAGTGAGTGTGTGTGTGTGAGTGAGTGAGTAGTGCAATTATGTACTGCTGATGCAATCATACCGTCTTCGTCGAGGTCAAAGTATCTGCAGAGCACGCCGCAGATGATGAGGCAGCGTGGTGCATCCCGGCGCGATGATCCGCGAGTCGCGCTCTCACCAGCAATCAAGCGCAGGCGCTCTGCATCGACAGGTGGCCAGGATGAGGCGAGGGGCGAGGACCAGGAATGAGAGCTCATCACGATGCGGATGCAAGTGATGCGGAAGAAATCAATGGATGCACAAATGAATGGACCCACAACTACACAAGCAAACAGCATCGCCCACCTCTGCAACCAACTAACTGACACACACACACGCACACAAACACACACACACACACACACACACACACACACACACACACACACACACACACACACACACACACACACACACACACACACACACACACACACACACACACACACACCGTATGCAGTTTGAACCAAGTCCCGTGGAAGTTGGATGTTGTTGGAATGTGTCGTGCTGGCACGCAAGCAGGCAGCAGAGGGCTGCAAAGCTCTGCCTGGGCCAGAGAACATCATGCGACCCAAAGTTCTCTCAAGCTTGACGAGGAGGGCATCTGACAGACGGGGGCACAGGGGCACGCAACTGCACAGCAGGTTGAGGGCAGCAACAACAGGGAGTACGTCCATCTGTTTCTTTGCCTCAATGAGGCCACTGAGATACAGCACAATCGGCTGCACGTGCTGAACAAACAGGCTCGGGCAGGCCTGACACAGCGTGTTGGCAAGCTGCACGAGCGTGCTCGTGTGCTCCGTTTTGTTCCTGCAAACCCAGCAATACAGCGAAGATGAGTGAAATGAGCGTGTACTAACTGCTCTGTTCGCATCAATACAAATGTGTGTGTGTGTGTGTGTATGAAGCAGCATGAACACCAGCATGAGACGCTATGCGTCATCGGGTCACGGCATACAGCTTACAGGTTGTCTGCAAGGTCGGCCGCAATGTCCTGGGCCATGCCGTTCTGAGCAGTGATCTTCTTGTCCTGCTTGAAGGCCTATGGCGACAGAGTAGCAAACAACAAGTGTCAGCTCAAAGCCGAAGGTGGTCTCGTTTCCACTCGCGACACACACACACACACACACACACACACACACACACACACACACACACACACACACACACACACACACACACACACATTGATACCACGCACTTGAGAAGAACTTACGAGTTGGAAGAGAGCCTGCATGTATTCGCTGCCGTTGACCTTGTCAGACAAGAGGACAAACACTTTGCGCATGGACTCAACAACATCAGCCACGTCCGTATCTGGCTGAAACCACAGCTCCAAGAAAGGCTTGCACGCCAGGTCCTTGACGAGGGTTTCATCATCCTGCATGCGGCGACTCAGACTGAAGAGCAGCTGGCACAGGTCGCCTTGTACAACGGCATGCTCGCGCTTGCGTTTCTCCTTGCCAATCATGTCCGTCACCAAGCGGATGGTGCGCTTTCGCACAGCAACAGACTTATCCTGATGGCACAAACAGCAACGCACAAACAGGGACACACGAGTCAAGTCTTTAGTGTAAACCTTGTCATCAACACGAACAACAGCTGCAACAAGAGATTGTTCGCCTGCCAGCGCATCAACGGGCGAGGGCGTGGATGACGTGGAAGCCACACGTAGCACCAAACCCACGTCTTCTGTTGCTCACGCAGGCCGCAACGGTGTGCAGTGTCGTCGTTTGCGACTCACCTGCAAGCTGGTCTCAATGGTGCCGAAAAAGTCGTCCAGGCTCTGCGGATGCACGACTAGCAGGGACGTGAGCAGCTCCACAACCGCCTCGCGCACAGATGAGCTGACGTCCATGGAGTGGCTCTTGATGGCCTCGCTTGCCAGCTGTAAGTGAGCGAGTGTGAGCGAGTGTGAAAGGGTGGGCGCGAAGGTGTGAGTTAAAAAGTGTGAAGGTATGAATAAATGTATGAGCAAAGGCGTCTGTGAAGGTTAGAGTAAAGGTGCGAATAAAGGTGTCAAGAGGAAGCGAGTGAGGGTGGTTCTCTTCGAATGGGCGTGGCTGGAGCAGTATCATGAAGCACCTGGACAATCTTTGGGGTGTCGTCAACGAGGAGCGTGGCCAAGGATTTGATGGCTTTCGTGCGGACGGTAGGCATGGGGTCTTGACGCTTGGACACGATGATGTTGAGAGACGTGGCCCATCGCTGCTCCAAACCAAAAAACAAGAAAGTGAGGCCATGATCCATTCAGCATGTAGTGCGCTGTTGCCACGCGAACAAAGGAAAGAAAACGGTGACGGATCGCGCATGTGTGCGCACGCATGCACACACACACACACACACACACACACACACATACGCACACACACACACACACACACAAACACACGCACGCACGCACGCACGCACACACGCACGCACGCACGCACACACGAACCTGCTGGTACCACGCCGTCTGCAGCTGTGCGAGGAGAATGTCTGCGCCACAAGTTGCGTGGCAGTCAACAGGAGTACTGTACATTGCGAGGACAAAGAAGTGAGTTGACAATGGGGACAACGGGGAGCGAATACATGCCCATCCACGATCAACAACACACGTGTACAGTGCATGTTGCATCCATGGTTGGCAATGTGCTGCCGCCGCAGGCACGAGCACGCACTTTGTGGGTGACGCCAAGAACTTCCACAAGAAGTCGCATCTCTGATGATGTTGGCGCTGGCGAATCAGCCCTGGAGTGACCATGCCCATCACCGTTCGATGGAACATTGAAGCAGGTGAGTAACACATCCATGATGCACCCAAGCGCTGAAGCAGAAGTACTCGTTTGTAGGACAACACACAGACAGACACAGACACACAGACACACACAGTGCACCTTCGTCTGGCTCTTGGGATTCGAGCATCTCTTGGTCGGCGCTGGCTTGAGCAGAACTCGTGGCTGCCTTGCTGGCAATGAGCTCACGGCCCATGATGCGGACAATAAAGTAGGTCTGGTGTGACACAACAAAGATCACAATGCGAAAACATGGCATGTAAGATGCAGGCATGCCTTGGATGTGTGCGTGCGTGTGCGCGTGCGTGTGCGTGTGTGTGTGTGTGTGTGTGTGTGTGTGTGTTTGTGTGTTTGTCACAGCGCACGCCCGTAATATGCGCACGGGTTCCAACTCGAGGCACGGCTGCATGAACAAACAAACCATTTCCACAGGAAGCTTGGCTTCCACGTATGCCGTGAGAAGCGCGTTCTCGGTCAAAATCATCTCGTAGTTCTGAAAAGCAGCCACACAAACAAGCGAGAAACAAAACGCAGGGTTGTGTCAACACTAAGGCGACGAAAGGATGGGCGTTTGGATGCGGATGGTCGGCACGTTGCGTGAGGAGAATGTGGCTGCGCGCACAGTTGTGTGTATTTATGTGTGCGTGTGTGTGTGTGTGTGTGTGCGTGCGTGCGTGTGTGTGGTTGCAGACCTCAAAGGCGCGCCAGTGGTCGATGGCGTCCTGAGTTGCCTGTAGCGTGTCCTCCGAGATGACTTTTGTTGCCCGCACGCCCTGCCAAAACAGGAGAAACAGAGAAACGGCATCGTGACACATCATTTAGCAGATCGACCCAACAAGTTGCAAATCATGCACGCGAACACACAAACACACAAGAACAACGTTCACAGTGCATAGCACGCGTTTTCGAGTCAACAAACAAACAAACAAACAAACACGCACTTGAGCGTATGTGCTGAGAACTGTCATGAGACAGTCAAATGCGAGTTGGCGGAGAGAACTGGACGCTTGCGAGCTCCGGAGAATCCCGTTCTGTCACAGCCAGAGCAGAACCGCACCATTAGAGGCATGAATAGAATGGACACAAACAGAACGGACAATTACACGCGTGGGGAATCAACACCACAGACGGGCATAGCAAACAGCCAAGTGAGGGCGTACCATGCGGGATACAACGGCCATCATGATGTCACATGCAACCGGCCACTTGGGCTGAAAGGCACATGCGCACACATCCTGCACGAAGTTAGTGAACATGGTCGCATATGGAATGTCCGACTTGCCCTGCTCGATCCTGTAATCACATCACAACACAACGAGTTTAGTCGGAGGTGTGATAAAAAAAAGTTGGCAGATAGGATGGCAGGGAGACTCGCGTCTCGAAAAATGAGCAAACACACAGACAGACAGACAGACACAGACACAGACACACGCACACACAGACACACAGACACAGACACACGCACACACAGACACAGACACACGCACACACACACACAGACAGACAAACGCATGGCTTCAATCACATCAAGTACTTGACTGACTTTGAGGAGAAATGGACAACAACGTCCTTGATGAGGCCGCTGACCTCCTTTGTTGTTGAGAGCACGGCCTCAAACATGGCAGCAGAATCGTCGCGCTATGGAACAACGACAGTAGCGAAGAGTGAGAGAATAACATTGGGGCAGAGTGGCGTATGTGGAGAGAGTGTGAGTGAGTGAGTGAGTGAGTGAGTGAGTGTGTGTGTGTGTGTGTAATGGTGTGCGTAGCATTGTGTGGGATGAGGCAAACGTTCATTTACACATGAACACATGACAAGGTGGCGTTGGCCGACTTTGGGACGAGGTGGCCCTGATTTCAATGCTGGTGCACGTGCACATATATGTCGTCAATGTACCTGAACATCTTCCAGATTTGCGTTGCAAACGGCCTGCAGCAACTGCATGATGAGCAGCGTAAAGACTTGGATGTTGACGCCGTCGCGAACCCTGTGAGTACATGATTTAGTGGGATGGTGAACGTGGGTGAGCGTGAGGGCAAATGAGCCAACATCTTGCAGACAAAGAGCATTGCTGAGGCAAGGTCGGCAGCACAACTACAACCGACACAGCGCTGCGGTAGGAGCACGGCCAACCTATCAACAGTGCACATACTCAAAGGTGCGCAGGCGCCGCTTGGCGACCGTGAGCTTGGACAAATTTGAGAAGATTTCCTGCAAGATGGTTTCGCGATGGCGCGGCTTTCGTTGGAATACCTGCACGTACCACCGAAGCAACACACACACACACACACACACACACACACACACACACACACACACACACACACATCCAAGGCGACAGTGCCATCGTGCCGACAGCGCACAAGCCGTGACGGTGAGTTGCAGATGTAAAGGATGGACGTAACCCTGAGCCGACCCAGGTACACGCGCAGCCGTGCATTGGACAACCATGCCACACATGCACATGCACACATACATACACACACATCGTGTACCATGGAGCAGAGCGCTACAGCTTCTAGTTTGAGGTCAGAGAGCCCGTCGATGAACACGGCTTCAACGGAGAAGCGTGAGAGCTGTTCGCAAAGTGATTTCAGACAAATTTGAGTCAAAGACATTACAAATATGCACGTGTGTTTGTGCGAAGGCATGACGAGGGCTGAGTTGGGTGTTGTACGTTGAAGGTGATGAAAACGTGAGCGTACAAAAAGCATGCAAGGGTCACGGCGAGAAAGACTGCATCGGTTGCACGGCTTGCTGCGGTGTTGGTGAGGGTGCGTACATCAATGATGATTTGGTCGTTCAGAGGCTGGCAGCCAACGAGTTTGGTGCAGACATGCACGAGTGGGGTGAGGTGTTGGTACAGCTTCCGCCTTTTCCCCAGGCCTTGCATGACGCTGGCACGACGTCGCCGACCTGCGGAGGGCCACATGTGAGCATAGCACCGCAAAGCGCTCCACGCAGGTGAGAGACACATCTCAAGTGATTCACACACACACGCACAGGTGAAGCAGCCACACACACACACACACACACACACGCACAGGTGAAGCAGCCACACACACACGCAAGCACAAAGACACACACAGACACGCACCATCTCCTTTGGTCGTGTCGTCTGTGTTGCAGAACGGGTAGATGTGCTTGGACAGGTGATGCTTGATAAACTGGGCGCAGTTTTCAATGAGGTCCTCCAGCAGCACCTGCTTTGGCATTCTGGGCACAACCATAACGGACATGGCAAATTTGGCCGCGTTTGCCGCAGCCAGCACCTCATCCAGGCCATCGTTGGCCTTGTTCTGTTGAAGAGACGACACGCACACACATACACATACACACAATAACATGCACGCGGATTCGTGAGCAGTTCAGCTGGAACAGCGCAGTCCATCTTGCAAAGGCAGCAAACATCGAGAAAGCGCCCTGCGAGCACGTGCAAGAAGCGAGTGTACCAGTGCAATTTTGAGGCCAGGTCGCATGAGCTGCTGAGCAAACACAAGTAGCTTGACAAGGAGTTCGCTGTCGATGGTATGCAGCTTGTCCAACTTGTCTGGGTCCTCAAACTCCGTGGTCAGGTGTTTCATGAGCTTGGTGGTTGTGGCCAAGGCTGGCTTTTGCTCCCCTTCGAACGTTTTGATGGCTTGATCGATGAGCTGCGACAGCCGCTGAAACTGCGGCTTCTCCAAGATGTCTGAGTCACAACAACATACGCCAACCCCCCCCCCAAGATAAGCGCGCACAAGGACGGCAAAGAGCAGATACGTAAAGGGAGAAACGAGAAATCAGCAAGCGTGCGGGGCACGAGCATGCTTGTCAAAGTTGCACACTGAGCTGCTTGCTCTCACACAGGCGGGCATGTGGGTGGGGAAGGGAGCAAAGGTGTTGAGCGAGCACATGCGTTTGAGGCGTGGCGGCATCTCTGGAAGCGGCATGTGGTACATACCATCGTGGTCATCCGCGGGTGAGTCTGCGGGTTGGGTGGGGCTGGCTGGGGCGGATTCGGACGCCTGCAACGACCCATCATGGTGGGAGTGGGAGCTGTCGTGCACTTGGTGTTGCGGCGGTGTTGCGGCGTGTGTGGCTGATGCGGTTGAATGCTTCACGGCATGGTGGTGCACGGGAGATTGCGGAAACTGGCGGTCAAGGGGCCACGCGCCTTGTTGCTGTGCTTGATGTTGTGTTTGGTGTTGCTGTGTTTGTTGTGCTTGTTGTGGAATCGCGGCAACTTTCTTTGGCCGCTTTTTGTCTGGGGTGGATTCCAGGAGCAGTGGGTCAGCTTCAAACTCCATGACGTGTTCGAGACACTGTCACTCTGCCACACCAAACAACGAGCCTGTTGGGTGGCGAGGATCTGGTGGTGTGGCTGACAGAGCAAGCGCGGCTGATTCACCTCAGCGACTCAATACGCTCCTTGGCTCAGACGATATGCCTGTTCACGTCACGTGTGGGTGGCGGGGTTGTGGTTGTGGACGAAAATGAGCAGGCAGCAAGGACACGAACAAGCAACCGTGGTGGTGGAAAGGGTGTCGGCGAAAGCAAGCTTCTGTGTTGCTGTGTGGTTGTGCGAGTGTGCGGGAAGACAGATGGTGGCAGACGAAAAGGCGGGACTGGAAGAGGCAGCAAGCAAGGCAGACAGCCGAGCAAGACGAGGACGGATGGATGGCAAGCAGCTGTGCCGATGGTTGGTCCTCACCCCAACACAAACCTCTTGATTTGTGCGCGGAGATTTCCCGCCAAACCCGTTGTGGAGGATTGTTTGTGCCACTTCCACATTTCGACACCAGCAGCCAGGCGGAGAACGACAAGCAAAGCAACAAACAAGCCACAGACAGGCGCACGCACACACACCTCTCGCAGACACACACACGCAGACACACGCATACACACGCAGACACACTCACACACACACACTCACACAAGATGCCTCGAGGTGGCCCAAAGCCACGCTTTCCAGCGGTGAGATGCGTGCTTTCGGGTGTGTGCTGTTGTGCATGCGTGCTCAGAGGAGCTGTGGGCACGCTCGAGTGTGATTCCTCACCAGCTCATCATGACGGTTGCTGTGTGGTGTTTGCGCTGATTGGGCTACAGTCTCGCATCAAGAAGATTATGCAGACGGATGAGGACGTGGGGAAGGTTTCCACCGGGACACCCGTTGTCATTTGTGAGTGTAATTCTGATGCTAATGTGTGCGTGTGCGAGTTTGTACGTGAATGTGTGTTTCTGTTGGTACACACATGTGTGTGTGTGTCTCTGTTGTTACTTGTGTGTGTGTGTGTCTCTGTTGGTTCTGTTGTTACTTGTGTGTGTGTTTCTGTTGGTACTTGTCTCTCTCTCTCTCCCTCCTTCGTTTCTCCGTCTGTCTTTGATGCATGCTTGCGGTTTGGATGACTTCCTTGTGTCGTTTGCGTCAACAGCACTCACAGCATTCACACCACTGCTTTACTCACGCGAGACTCCCTCCCTCCCCTCCCCCTCTCTCTTTCTGTATGTGTGTGATGCACATGGTGCTGTAGCTGCTGTATTGGAAGCATTTATCACTGACCTCCTGGACCAAACAACTACAACCCACCCAGACTCCAAAACCATCGGTGCAAGCCACTTGTACGTTTTTGTTGTTGTTTTTTTCGCTGATGTTCTGTGTGTGTTAGCTCATTTCTTGAGCTGATCTGTTGTTAGCCAATCACTAGGAAAAAAACACTTATCAGTCACGTCCAGATGCTTATTTGCACTCTCGGCCGATATGAAAGTGCTTACCTAGGCCTCTATCGCAATGGCACCTGAGGAAGATAGTGGCCCCACCCCCGAAAGACATCTTAGCTCTCAAACTTGTTTACCGTGCATATAACCACCCGCGAAGTTGGGCGCGATTAAGTCTATTGGTGCATACTAACAAGCCTTGAAGGTCTCATAATGAGTTAGATGGGGGGGGACCATCATATACTAGAGCTATCATTTATGAATGTTTAAGGTTTGCACCCCTTCATTCTGGCCAGGGACAGTACGCTGTGGTGTCTTAGCCCTGCCACCGTAATCTCCAATGCGGTGTGTGTGTGTGTGTGTGTGTGTGTGTGGAGGTTGTGTGTGTCGTGTGGGTGGTGTGTATGGGGTGTGTGTGTGTGTGTGTGTGGGTGTGGGTGTGTGTGTGTCTGTCTGTCTGTCCGTCCGTCTCTCTCTCTCTCTCTCTCTCCCCCGTGTGCATGTCCTCACATGGTGCATCAAGAGTGTGCCGTTGGCGAGTGGGAAGAGAGCGCAGTGCGCGTGTATGTGCCGTTGGTGAGTGGGAAGAGAGCGCAGTGCGCGTGTACGTGCACTCCTCACGCTATTTCACTCCCCACGCTGTTTCCACCACCCCCCCCCCCAACACACACCTGCTTTCAGGAAAGAGGCGGTCGATGCCAACCCAAAGTTTGACTTTCTCAAGGATGTGCTGAGCAATCAATCCGGCGTCGACAACCAACAGGACACCTGACAGCAAGATGCCACGACTACTACAAGCAGTGCAAACACCATGTCATCACCCACACTCTCGCTCATCACACCCGCTCGCCATCGCGTTACCGATTCTTGTACATGACACTAAACAATTTTCTGCAATCGAGCGGAAGAAGAAGACACTGCGCACCATCGCTGTCACACAGCACGTCGTCCGTCCGTTGCACCCTTCCTCAACCGCGCACATCGTCATCATCAACCACGCACAACCACCACGAACTGTAAAGGCGAAGTCAACAGCCAGTTCGATTGCCAATGTCGTCCTCGCCCTCACCGGCGCAGTCGCCGCCTTGGTGGGTGCTGGACAACGGATCGGGCACGCTGAAGGCCAGCGTTGTTCATCAAAGCCCGCAAGCAAACAGCCCCAACTCGAACACCGCGTGAGTTGAAGCGCCACTTGCGCATTGCAGTGACATGAAGCGCTTGTGCATGCCCGGGGGGTAGCGGTTATTGCTTCCGTGGTCGGCACAGCGATATCCCATCAACGGAAAAGTCCCGCTGGTTGCTTGCATTGCTGCTCGTACGCTCGATTGGTTGCTTGATCACCTGCTCGCAACGCTGGCACACTTGCCTCATGCTGTGTGCATCAATGCACTGATGGCGTGTCTTTGTGTGCTTGATATAAGCAGGGTGACACTGGAGAATGCCGTCCTGGCCGGGAGTGGTGGACGGCGCCAAGGGTTCAGCGATGACTTTGAGGACTTGTCTCGTCTGTACTGGAGTCGCCCTTGTGAACAAGTGCGTGCTCAGCGTGTGTGTGTGTGTGTGTGTGTGTGTGTGTGTGTGTGTGTGTGTGTGTGTGTGTGTGTGTGTGTGTGTGTGTGTGTGTGTGTGTGTGTGTGCGTGTGAATGTGAATGTGGATGTGACTGTGAATGTGAATATGACTGTGAATGTGAATGCCAATGTCACTGTCAATGTCAATGTCAATGTCAATGTCAATGTCAATGAGGGTGTGTGTGTGTGTGTGTGTGTGTGTGTGTGTGTGTGTGTGTGTGTGTGTGTGTGTGTGTGTGGTTCCCTTATGTGCGTCTGCGGTGGTGTGCTTCAAGGACAAACAGCTGCTCGTAGATCATCGTGTTGAAAACCGACAAGACGCCCAGCGTGCTGACCCAACATGTGATGTCATGCAGGAGTTTGTCACGGATCATGCACAAGAGGCACACATCTGGCGACACCTTCAACATAAGCTTCAGGTCATGCATGTATTTCAACACATTGTGCTGTTTCGTGCATTTTCCACTGCACAGGATGCATACCCACCACGGTAGCAAGTGCCACCATGCTGCTGTCCCCTTCCGTGCCACCACGCTGAATGTGTGCTCAAGCTGTGACCTGTCCAGCCACGTTTGCTTTGTTCTCACGTTCCTGTTTCTTCATACACATGTACTTTGTGGCCAACAAACAGGTACCTGAAGCAGCGGCGATGCTCTGCTCCTCAGCGCTGACTTCTTTTGCGCCAGTTAACGGTGAGCAAACCAAGCGACTCGGGGTGACTGATGACTCGGCCTGGTGTGGCTGTGCATGGTATGACACAACACCGGTATGACACGCGATTGTAGAAGACTGTCTGACACCACATGCAACCACATCACTTGCACCTCTCTTGGCGCGTGTCTTTGGCTCTTGGCGCGTGTCTTTGGTTTTGCCGCTGCACGTTACATCTTACCCGCTGCAGATGGACTCGCCGAGATTGCGTTTGAAGAGCTGGGCTGTTCTTCGTTCTGTCTCCTCGAAGGTGTAACTACCTCAGTGAACGGCATTGTTCGACATCATGCACCGTGTGTGTGCATGTCTTGTAGGGCTTTGTCTTGTGCGTTCTGCAGTTATGTGTGTGTGTGTGTGTGTGCGGTGTGTGTGTGGACTCATACGTACTGTGTTGCATGCGAGTGTGTCGTCGTTCTATCCCTTGTGCATACATATGCTTGCGCTGTTTGCGGATCACACAGCAGTGCCTCTACTTGCATCTCACATCCTTACTTGGGGTCTTGTCGCATGCTGCTCGCTGTTGCTTTGTCAGCACCGGCGCTGGCATCATACGCTCTGCCGGGCGACTGCCAGCTCATTGTCGATTCTGGGTTTTCGTCCACGCGCGTGTGCGCTGTTCATCGCCATTGCGTGGTGCCTGGATCCGTTGTCCGCATGCCAGTTGGTGGGCGTGTCATCACAAACTACTTGAAGGTGTGTTATGTTGGGGGGATTTGGCGCCTTTGTTGAGTGTGCGCTTGCCTGCATCGCTGTTTCTCCCCGCCGTGCAGTCCTCCACACACACACACACACACACACACACACACACACACACACACACACACACACACACACACACACACACTTACGCACACACACACACTTACGCACACGCACACACGCACACACACACACTTACGCACACGCACACACGCACACACACACGCACACACCAATGCACGTACGCACATGCGTTTGCATCGCCTTGGTCTCACTCCACACACACATACACACACACACACACGCACACGCACACACACACACACACGCGCGCGCGCACACACACACACGCGCGCGCGCGCACGCCATCCCACCCGCATGCATATGCTCACCCTCACACATTCGCCGTCCGCAACCACATACACATGCACACATCCACGCATAACACATTAACATACACACACGCAGGACCTTGTGTCGTATCGCCACGTAAACGTCTCGGACCAACAACAACTCGTCGAAGAATTGAAGCTGCACACGCTGCGGATTGTGGACAATTTCGCCGCCTCCCTCACACAAGCCAAGCGCGTATGTAAGACGACGCAATGCGTGGTCTCCTGCGCACACGTGTGTGCGTGTGTGTACGTATGTGGTGTCTCCTTTCTCCCCAGCATGGCCCGCTGCTGTTCGCCTGTCTGTTGCTTTGTAGACGCGTTTGTGGTGTTATTCACAGTGCAGCTTCGCCTCTGTGCAGAAAACGCCAAAGGACAACCCTTTTATGCTGGATTATTTGTTACCGGATTACGCAGGGGTAAATGTGTAACTGATCACGTGTGAGCAAGAGAAAGTGTGTGTGTTGTGTGTGCGTGCGTGAAAGAGACAGAGAGGCAAACACACACACACACACACACATGCGCACACACATGCACACACACAGGTGCTGCATTGCGCTGTGTGTACCTTGCCTGCCTCTTGTGGTGTGGGCGTCTGCGTTGACATTGTTTGCAATGGGCTGTTGCTGTGGCCTTACGCTCTGCTTCTACGTCTGCCCCCAATCGTCTGCGTCGGTGATGCAGCGCATGCATGGACATGTTTTGCCGCGCGAGGACATGAAGCCTGTTCTTCCAAGTAAGTCCCAGGCCAACGCACTGTCTGCGGCTCTGCTTATGGCACACATTGACGGCTTCTTCCTCACCATTCGTATGCGGTCGCCTCTATGTGTGTATGTCTGTGTGTGTGTGTGTGTGTGTGTGTTCATGTTGTGCATTTGTGTGCCGTGCGTGTACGTGCCTTTGTTGTGCTCGTGCGCTGTGTACGTGTGTATGTTTTCGTGGTGTCGTTATTACTTTGGTAACATCACATTCGGGCTTCAGAGCCAACGGTGGGACGACAAGTCATCCGCCTTACCAACGAGACATTCTCTCCCGGCGAGCTGTTTTTCCACCCAAACGACATCGGTGTGTGTGTGTGTGTGTGTGTGTGCGTGTGTGTGTGTGTGTGCGTATGTGTGTATGCGTGTTTGCATATCTTTGCGTGTTTTCATGTACGCATAGTTCCCTGCTTGCTCTGTTCATCTATCTGAACTTGCTTGAGCACACAAGCTTATGGCTGTGAATGCTCCCGCTTTTGCACGCGCACGCACTCAGCGACTCACTGAAAATGTGCCCCGCATGCTGCGATGTTGCTGGTGTCCCTTCTCTGGCAGGCATCGACTCTGTGGGCGTGCAGGAGTGCATCGCCGCCTCACTTCAGCGCTGCCCAGAATGTGCGTTGCACTTGCTGCTGTGTCCTCGCGTCTGCAGTAGCTGCGTTGTTGCTTGTGTTCTTGTCGTTTTCGTTGTCGTCATTATGGGTGGCTGCCTGCACATGGCCGTCACCCACCCTCCAGCAACATGGGACTCACCGCACACAGAGAACCACACACACATACATACACACAGAGAGAGAGAGAGAGAGAGAGAGAGAGAGAGAGAGAGAGAGAGAGAGAGAGAGAGAGAGAGAGAGAGAGAGAGAGAGAGAGAGAGAGAGAGAGAGAGAGAGAGAGAGAGAGAGAGCATAGCACATGTGCCACGTGACTCACAACAATTCGCCACAACCCGTGCACCCAATGGCACACGTGTGCCACGTGGCGTGCATGCGACAGGGTTACAGCCGTCCCTCGTGCAAAGCATTGTGCTGATTGGCGGGAATGCCAACATTCCAGGATTTCGTCGCCGCCTGTATGCCCACCTTCACGTTGTTTGAGTGTTTGTTTTTCGATGTGTTTGGCTTTGTGTTCGTGTGTGTGTGTGTTGTTGTTGTTGTTGTTGTTGTTGTTGTTGCTGTTGTTGTTGTTGCTGTTGTTGTTGTTGTTCATTTGCTTGCCTACTTGCTTGCGATGTGTTTTCGTTTGGGGTTGGCCTCGTCTTGTTGGACACTCATGGATGCCTGCACTGGGCGACAGAGAGGCTGAGCTGCGGTCCTGTCTACCCCAAGACCTGGGCGCAGCACACATCACACTGCCAAACGAGTGAGTTGAATCGCCATGTGTGTGTGTGTGCACATCAAACGTCAAGATGCTGACGCCATGTCCGTGTTGGCGGACATTTCGTTTGTTTCGCCCTCTTGTCCTTCCCCCCCCCTTAATCTTCATCACCAACTTGCCCTCCTACACGCTCATGCATGTGCGAACACGCGTTTGCTCTGCGTCTCTCAGTCCACAGCATGCAGTGTGGAGAGGTGGTTGTGCCCTTGCCGCTGATACGGAAGCCATCTCCGCCCTGGCCGTCTCTCGCGTGAGTGTCAAGCTTCTTGCTTGCTTGTGTTGCGCGCATATGTACATGTGCATGTGCATGCGGTGTGTATTATGTGTGTGTAATGTGCAATGTGTAATGTGTGTAATGTGTGATGTGTGTTGTGTGTGTGTGGGGTATGTTGTGATGTGTGTTGTGTGATGTGTGTGGTGTGCATGTGTGGTGTACGTGATGTGTGCACCCTTCCTCTCCCCCTCGTGTCTCTTCCAATTTACAGCTCACACTTCATGTCATTTTCGCGTCCACATGTGTATGTGCATGTGCCTGCGGCCCCTGGCTGTTGTGCACTGTGATCTGGCATCCTCAGGCCACATTCGCCGAACACGGCACACTTTCACCACCAGACACCAGTTAGCCGACGTCCTCTCACAAGCATGACGTCAAATAATTAACAGCAGTAAACGCCTCACCTGTTCAACGTCCTGTCACAGAGTCATGCACGCCACAAACAAAACCAGGGCATCGATGCACTCGTGCAAGCGCTGTTCACAAACAGAGAGGCTGATGTGAAGACGTGTGATGATTTGAGCAAACAAGCAACAAGCAAGCAAGCAAGCAAGAGCAAGGAAAACAAGGACAACACAAGTCGCATGACATGGGTTGGGCGTTTGGTGAATGATTCCCAGAAAATTTCGTTCGCACTGAAACTCCGCTGCAACCACCACCTGCACACGCTCTCACACCGACCAACCACACCGACCAACCACAACACCACCACGATGGTTGCCAGCGCTCTTGTGTCGGGCCGTGCTGCCCGTGCCCTTACCTCGGCGCGCACCTTTGCCACAGCCCGCCCCGCCCTTGCACAGACGGTATGGGTGTTCAAGCGCATGCCGGTGTTTTCGTTGTGACTAGTGCTACTGCGGCTGCGGTGTGATTGCCGTGTTCATCATTGCTCCCATGCTTCGTGTGTGGCGACGTCTAGCGACGTCGACGGTTGCATGTCTGCCTGTCAACGCGCATGCACTGGCGTCAACGCGCTGACCCACTCAAGCATGCAAGCATGCGCATGCTCACACCTGCTCTCTGAAAATCAAAAAAACCCGCTGCCTCTCCCGTGTTGCACAGGTTGCCGTGCGCGATGCGCTCAATGCAGCCATGGACGAGATGATGAAGAAGGACGACAAGGTCATCGTCATGGGCGAGGAGGTCGGCCAATACCATGGCGCATACAAGGTCACTCGGGGTCTCCTCGAGAAGTACGGCGAAAAGGTAAGCATTCCGCAAGGTCCCACACCCCCATGGTTTGTTTGACGTATCTGTCATTGACAGAGACATACACGGCCTTCTGATGCACGCATATGTTTTCCATGCGTCCTCCTGTTTTCGTTTCCTTGTCATGCAATCATGTCAAGCAATGCATGGACAGATGCGTTCTTTGTGGAGTCGCCCGATCTCTTGTATGGGCCTTGTCGCTTGTTTCTCTCGACCTTTTTGATGAGCGCCACTGACGTACCAATGCTCCAACACCTTGGGCTTTCTTGCTTTGCAGCGCGTCATTGACACGCCCATCACTGAGATGGGCTTTGGCGGCCTTGCTGTTGGTGCTGGCCTCGGCGGCCTGCGCCCCGTCTGCGAGTTTATGACGTTCAACTTTGCCATGCAGGCCATTGACCACGTAAGGTCCACGTACACTTCAGTGCACACGTGCAAAGATGCGCATTTGAATCCACACACACACACACACACACACACACGCACACACACCACGATACACACACACACACACACACACACACACACACACACACACACACACACACACACACACACACACACACACACACACGCACGCACCACGACACACACACACGCACCACGACACACACACCACGACACACACACACACACACGCACGCACCACGACACACACACACACGCACCACGACACACAGGCGCTCTCTCGCCCTGTTTTGGTTATATGTCACTTGTATCCGTTACATCTTGATTCTCCTGCATCATCCATACCACTTGGCACTTGTACCCTCACGTCACTGGTTTTGGGATTCACCTTCTACGCCATGATGTAGATTGTCAACTCTGCTGCCAAGGCCCACTACATGTCCTCCGGCATCGTGAGTAGTTCTGCCTTCCTACTGACTGTATTGATGTGCACATGCATGCATGCATCCAAACTTGATGGTTTGCGTGGAGTGTGGTTGTACAACCCGCACAGACATGCACATGACCACGGACCACGCACGCAGACAAGCAGACAGACACATGCACAAGCATAAACGCATGCGCTTGTTGTGGAAGAGAATGGCCTGCTTAGAATCGCCCGCTTCGCTTGCAAGGTTTTTTTTTCCGCTGACATGCCATGCCCACGCAACACACCGTTACTCTGCCGCCAATAGATGAAGTGCCCCATCGTGTTCCGCGGGCCCAATGGCATGTCCACAGGCGTTGCTGCCCAGCACTCGCAGTGCTTTGCTGCCTGGTACTCCTCCTGCCCCGGTCTCAAGGCAAGTGACATCAAGCTGTAAGGAAGAGAGAGAGTGTGTGTGTGTGTGAGAGTGTGTGTGTGCTTTTGTGTAAATACGTATGCATTGGCTTGTTTCTCAAGTTAGGTGTGTGAAAAAGACAGAGTGACAGAGGAACGTGTGCGCGTGCGCGTTTGCCTTTGCGTGTGCGTGCATGTGAGTGTGCATATATGTGCGGCTGCTTGCTACTACAGCGTTGTGCGCCTTGTGCTCTTTGTTGACGTGGATGCGTGCTTGCATGCAATCACCATGCAGGTTGTTGCGCCCTGGTCCTCTGAGGACTGCAAGGGCCTGCTGAAGGCCGCCATCGCAGACCCGAACCCCGTCGTGTGCCTTGAGAACGAGCTCATGTACGGCCAGGAGTTTGAGATGTCTGACGAGGCTCTTGCTGAGGACTTTATTCTCCCCATTGGCAAGGCAAAGATTGAGCGCGAAGGTGCGTGCCATCAGCTCGTCTGTGCGTCTGTGCGCCTGTGCGTCTGTGCATCTGTGCGTTTGCTGCGCGTGGCTGATGCTCTATTGATGTATGCATTTGCAAACACTCTCTGAGTGGCTCACTGTGCATGTGCCGTCTCTGATTCATGTAATTCGTGGTCCGCGCTGCTTCGTGCTGATATCACTTTGTGCCTGTGCACGGGCGCCCATTCATTGCATGCGATTGCCTCTCTACATTTCCCGTGCATGCTGCATGTGCACCAGGCACGGATGTGACGCTTGTTGCGCACTCGATTGCTGTCGGCTTTGCTGTCGAGGCCGCAAAGGAGCTTGAGAACGAGGGCATCAGCTGTGAGGTACGCCGACCGCTTGCGTTTGTATCGTGCTTGTGGCGTGAACCATTTTGTTTTGACAAGCAAGCGGTTTTGCTTCTAGCCTTTGTTGTTTGGCGCACTCGAAGAGACACACACACACACACACGCGCGCGCGCGCGCATACACACTCTCTGTGTGTCTCTCTTTGGCTGTCTCTGTCTCTGTCTGTCTGTCTCTGTCTCTGTCTCTGTCTGCCTGTCTCTCTCCTGTGTGTGTGTGTGTGTACGCCCCCCTCCCATATGCTCATTCGTTTTCCTGCGTGGTTGCTTTTGATGCCGAATGCAGGTGGTGAACCTGCGTACACTGCGTCCTCTCGACACGGAGACCATCATCAACTCCGTCAAGAAGACAAACAGGTCAGTCGCGATGGCTTGACCGCCCGCGGGTTTCGCTCATGCGCTCGTGTGTTTGTTGCATGACATGATACGATTGCCTTGCAGCACACATCCGCCACCTGCTCAACTCCTCCCGCTGTTTCGTATCCCTGCTTGTTGGCATGTGTGCACCCTGCAGGCTGGTGACCGTCGAGGGCGGCTGGCCACAGTGCGGCATTGGCTCGGAGATTTGTGCCGTCGTCATGGAATGTACGCCTGCCCTGTTGATCTGTCACGTGCCGTTCAAATCATGTGTTGAACTCATGTGTTGAACCTTCTACGCTTCACCGCAACCTCGTTCACACTCACACACACACACACATTCGCACACGCATTCCACGCACTTTTACACACACACACACACACACACACACACACATTCGCACACGCATTCCACGCATTTCACACGCATCAACACAACACACCCACACATTCACACACACACACACACATGCACATTGCACAGCCGAGGCGTTTGACCATCTCGATGCGCCAGTGCACCGCGTGACCGGTGCGGATGTGCCCACGCCGTATGCGAAGAACCTGGAGGACCTCGTCTTCCCCAACGCAAGCAACGTTGTCCGCACCGTCAAGGGCATGCTCAACCTCTAGCGTGCTGTTGTTGATACATGCGTGCGTGTGCGTGCGTGTGTGTGCGTGCGCTCGTGTTTTTGAGACGTGCACATGGATGCGGCGCTGTTGGTGCCACACGCGCATTCACTCCGCACGACTCGCCACGTTGTGTTTGGCACATGTCCTTTGTGTCATGCCATCTCCCTTGATTTTAACTGTCGCAAGCACCCATGTTGTTCGTTTCTTCGTCCCCACTGCTTGTCTTGTTGTTGATGTGCCTCGCTGTCGATTGACGTGATGATGATTGGATGAACCAACGTCGGGTGGTGTCAGACAGAGAATGTGAGTCCGTGTGAGTGCATGTGCGTAAGTGTGTGACACACCCACAACACACACACACACACACACACACACACACACACACACACACACACACACACACACACACACACACACACACACACACACACACACACACACACACACACACACGCACACACACACACACACACACACACACACACACACACACACCACACACAGACAACTTCACAACACCATATAATGTAGTGACATGCGACCGCTGTGTACCACACACATTCGAACACACACAAAAACCAACCACCTGCTCTTCTCTGGTGGTGCACCCACGAGGAGGATGCAAACGCAGGAGGAGGAAGATTTGGCGATACTCCACCACATCTGGAGGCCAACGCCAGAGAACCGGAAAGAGCTCGAGCGGATCAAACCCAACAAAGGCCCCTGGTCGAAGAGCGAGGTGGAAACGCTGCACAACAACGTCAACCGATTCCTGAAGGAGCATGGCGCCAGCGACGCGTTGAGCGTACTCTACGGTGACCAGCAAGAGCTCAAGTCAGAGCTCCGCCGAGCAGTGTGTCACAACATTCGCCGCACTGCGGTCTCCATCTGCAGATACCTCACCAGGGCGTACCCCAAATACCCTCTGTTGCGGGATAAACCCCTCACCCCTGAGGAGGAAGCGCAGCTGTGCCGCTTGGTCCAAACCCACGGTAAAGCATGGGCGAAAATCGCATCCTCACTTGGACGTGACCCAAACTCTCTCATGAGCTGTTACCAAAGGATGACCCAAATCACAACCCCGTTCACGGAGGAGGAGGACGCAAAACTCATGGAGCTCTATGCCAAGCACGGGCGCAAGTGGGTTTTGCTCGCGCAGCACTTCGACAAGAAGAGCCCAAGCCATTGCAAGCATCACATCGAATATCTGTTGAAGCGACCCCAGTCGAAGGACACTGCCAGCGCCAAAGGCCAAGCAAAGCGTCCCTCAAAGGCAGCACGGCCGACAGTCACCCGCAAGAAGAAGCCCAAGACAGCAGAGGCCCAAGAGCACAGACGAAAGAAGCTGAGCGAGATGCGCAAGGCCGGCACGCTGCCACCCGAATTGCTGAAGCAGGAGCAGCTGAGGGAACAGCTTGAGGCAGAGCGCAAAAAGGCCCAGCTCAAAATGGCGGAGGTGCAAGCGCGGAAGAAGCGGGGAGGGGAAGCACCAGGTTCGCTCGGGTATCTGCGTCGACGAGACAATTTTGCCGTCATTGCAGCCATTCAAGGCATGGGCTGCGCCCGCTTCGACGACGTGGACTGGAATGCTGTCTTCGACCACGTCAAATGTGGTGACTCACCAGCTGACCTTAAGGTATGCGCACACCTGCGTGCGTGTGTGAATGCGTGCGTGCGTGCGTGCGTGCGTGCGTGTGTGCGTGCGTGTGTGTGTGCGTGTGTGCGTGCGTGTGTGTGTGCGTGTGCGTGTGTGCGTGTGTGTGCGTGTGCGTGCATGCGTGTGTGTGTGTGCGTGTGCGTGCGTGTGCGTGCGTGTGCGTGTGCATTCAATCCTGACCTCCTCCTCCCCTCACTGCTTGCTGGAGAGTACCTCACTGTTTGGTCATCTCACACACACACACACAATGCCATCGATTTTGTGCATCTCTTCTCGCCACTCGCAAACCGCATCCTTGCCCTGACCACTGCCTTCGCTTCGACCGTGCAGAAGCACATGGGGCGCTACCTGTCCCTGGTTTCCACGGACACGCAATCGTTTACAGAGCAGTTGCAAGCCGTGAAAGACATGCTGAAGCAAACCTTGCCCTGGAGACATATCTTTTCAGTGATCCGAGACCAGGGCACGCAACATATCAGTGACATTGACTGGGATGCGATCGCACAACAGCTGCCCGGGAACACACCTCCAGAGCTACTTGAGGTCCGAGTTGTGTGCATTTGCGCCTGCGTTGTAGTGTGCTGTGTTGCGTTTTGCGATATGCATACAGCCGTACCATGGTTTGTGAAGTGTATTTGGGCTGTTTGCAGCGGCACACGCGTGCTCAAGTGAGCGAGTGCACTACTGCATTGTGTTGAGTGATGCGTGTCCCGTTAAGTGGCAGCCGCCGGGATTCCTTGCTCTGACAACGTAGCACTGTTTTTACATGTTCACACTGTGCGCGCCTGCATTTCATGTCCTGTCGCGTGGTATTGTAGTTTCGCTTTCGAACCTTGCTTCTCAAGATTCCCAGGGAGGAACGGGACCAACCAACCAGCGCCGTCTTGACCTCGCTCTCCCTCGGACCACCTCAGCCCGCAGAAGTGGTGTCAATATGCCAGCGCGTCCAAGCAATGAATGTTGCGTCATTGGAGGACGTGAACTGGGATGAGATCAAAGAGCGCAGTGGTTCCAAGCGAAGCTGTCTCAGCCTCAAGGTGTGCATTGCAAGATGAGGTTGTTGTATTGGGGCGGGGGCCGGGGAGTCTATGTGCAGGCGTCGAGCCAACCGGGTTCACAGTTTCACCCTGTCCTGCCCCTTGCTGTTCATATGCGATGCGCAGATTGCTGTGGAAACAGCCCTTAGCAAAGCTTCTTCCCAGGAACAGACCTTGTCCTTTGAGCAGCAGTTGCAGCAAGCGATTGATGATGCGCGCCCACCTGAGTGGCATGTGTGCATTGGCATGATGGCGCTACACGACATGAACGTGACTTCGCTCGATGACATCAACTGGTCCGCCGTTCAGCAGCGCTGTCAAATGACGATAAACACGGGTCATGTTAAGGTTCGTCATGTACGTGTTCATGGCAGGAAGTGCGCGTGAACGATTGATGATGGACAACATGTTGTTTCATTTCCTTGCCAGCTGTACCCACTCCTAACGAAACCGGGTTCCATTCGGGTGCGGCAAACGCATGCACACACACACACACACACTCTCTCTCTCTCTCTCACGCTACACCGCACACGTACACACGCGCTCTCACACACGCTACACCGCACTCACACACACCGCACGCGTACGCACGCGCTCTCTCTCACGCTACACCGCACTCACACACACCGCACGCGTACGCACGCGCTCTCACACAGAGGTTTCTGGATCAGCAACTGTCCAAGCTCTCGTCAGAGCAACAACAGCTGCCGCTTCAAGATCAACTTGAATTGCTGACATCGAAGGCAATTCTCAAAGGGCACGGTCTGAACAAACGGCGACAGGCCATTGTGCTTCGCGCTCTGAAAGGCTTGGACGTTGAGTCTTTGGAAGCAGTGGACTGGGCAGCTGTGAAGGAGCGAAGCGGCGCGGATGTTGAGCCTGAACGCCTGAGGGTGAGCGACTGTTTGGCTGTGAACTTGCGCCTATTGCTTTGTTTGGTGTGGTGTGACGTTGCACGTTGCACGTTGCATGCGTTTGTGTCATGCGCGCAAACGTGCGTTACGCGTCAGGAAGGATGCAGTCGTTGTGCTCATCTTTATGATGCACCTTGTGGTCCCACTCGCCGCATGTACTTGTGCTTGTTTGCACGCAGGACTATTTCGCGAGCAAGCTTGCTGTCTTGCCGCCCGAGCAGCAGCAGCTGCCATTTCAAGACCAACTCGCAGTGTTGCGCGCAGGCTCAACCGTTGTCTCGAAGAAACACAGACGGAAACGAACACAGGCGCAGGTGCGCTGGGCGGCGTTCAAGGTGCTGCAAGGCATGGATGCTGAGTCCTTTGAAGCGATTGACTGGGCTGCTGTGAAGGAGCAAAGCGGCGTGGATGTTGAGCCTGAACGCCTGAAGGTAGTGTTGTTGTGCTGACAGAGCTGTTGCTGTTGTCTTCTAGATGTGCTTTTGTTTGTTTGTCCTGTGTGGGTGTGTGTGCTCTGTGTATGAATGGTGATGCCACTTGTTTCTATGACGCTGCTCACATGTGCATGCGTGTGCTCTGCGTGTGCTCTGTGCGTGTGTGTGTGTGTGTGTGTGCTCTGTGTGTGTTTGTGCGTGTGTGCGTGTGTGCTCTGTGTGTGTGTGTGTGTGTGTGGTGTGCTGGTGCGGTTTGTAGAAGATTGTGCTGCGGTACTTCCCAGGCAGAGCTCGCAGACTACCGTTCAGGCAGCAGCTGCAGTGGGTGATGGCTCGATCACTGGTGAAAAATGTAGCGCCAGTGCATCTTCGGAAGGCTCTTGCGGTCATTGCGGACATGGGTGTGTCATCGCTGGACGAGGTTGATTGGGACGAGGTGCAACAACGCATTGGGACAAGCGCATCCACTGCGAGAAACATCAAGGTTTGGGCTCTACAGGGACAATGATCATGTGCCTGCAGCGTTGCGCCGTTTTGTTTGAGAGTGAGAGATGTCGCACGCTTTGTTTGCTTGACATGCATCACTTGCGTTGAGATTGCACTTTCGCGACGACTCACAACGCTGTTGTTGTTTGTGTGTGTGTGTGTGTGTGCGTGCGTGCGTGTGTGTGTGTGTGCGTGTGTGCGTGCTTGTGTGTGTGTGTGTGTGTGTGTGTGTGTGTTTACACTGCGCGATGGGTTGTGGGCGCAGGCTCGAATGACGCATGCCCTGAGTGCGCTGCCGGCTGAGGCACAGTCTGAGCCACTTGAGCAGCAGCTAGAGCGATTGAGAGTGCTAGCGGCGAGTACGCTGCGGCTGTCGTCGACACGTTCCCGCTGCATAGCTGCGATTGAGGAGCTTGGTGCTGCGTCGTTGGAAGCAGTGGACTGGGAAGCTGTGAAGGAGCAAAGTGGCGCGGATGTTGAGCCTGAACGCCTGAGGGTGAGCGACTGTTTGGCTGTGAACTTGCGCCTATTGCTTTGTTTGCGTGCTGTGACGTTGCACGTTGCACGTTGCATGCGCCTGTGTCATGCGCGCAAACGTGCGTTACGCGTCAGGAAGGACGCAGTCGTTGTGCTCATCTTTATGATGCACCTTGTGGTCCCACTCGCCGCATGTACTTGTGCTTGTTTGCACGCAGGACTATTTCGCGAGCAAGCTTGCTGTCTTGCCACCCGAGCAGCGGCTGCTGCCATTCCAAGACCAACTCGCAGTGTTGAAGGTAGCCTCAGGGACACAGAGGGAACAGCGCACGCGAACAGTGACGCAGGTGCAACGCAGGGCAGCGTTCAAGGTGCTGCAAGGCATGGATGCTGAGTCTCTTGAAGCGATTGACTGGACTGCTGTGAAGGAGCAAAGCGGCGTGGATGTTGAGCCTGAACACTTGAAGGTAATGCTCGTCTTGTCTCGCGCCTTCCTGCTCGGATTCCATCTTTGCAGCGTTGGTTGCTCTGTTTGTTGTTTGTTTCGCGTGGGCTTGCAACCCGTGCCCGAATCAGTGCACTTTTATTTTCCCTCCAGGCTTACCTTTACCCCTTACCTTTTGTTGCATTGCATTTTGACAGGCGTCGTTTGCATCCGAGTTTAGCGAACTTCCGCTCAGGTTGCAGGTACTCCCTTGCAACACGAAACTTCAATGCTTGGCGTGCTGGTCGCTGCCCACATCTCGATTGGTGCCGTGGGCACACCTGAAACTATTGAGATTACTTCGCCGTCGAGCGCCCTCGTCTTTGGATGACATTGATTGGCACCAAGTTGAGCGTGACGTGAAGCTGCCTTTTCCTGCTGAATTCCTCAAGGTATGTACTGTTCTGCCTTCGCTTGTGCGCTGTTGTGTGCTACTTGTGCGAAGTGGAGGGGTGCGCTTGTGCGCGCTTGTGTGCGCTTGTGGGAAGACATTCTTTGAAGCCCTTGTTGTGTGGCGCCAACGTGTGCGCTGGCCCATGTTTGACTCACGGCCAGCATCACCCTCGATTTTGCCCGTGGTACAGCACTACATTCGCCAGCAATTGGCTACACTGCCCCAAAAGCAGCGGGTTTTGTCATTTGCTGGTCAGCTAGCAGCGTTGTACTCGCTGTACTCGCACCGTCCACTCACGCCGCAGGAGAGACAACGTGTTTGGGAGACAATCAAGGACATGGATTGCTCATTCTTGCACGAGGTGGACTGGGCGGAAGTTGTCACTCGGCTTCAGCTGCCTCATCGTCCAAGCAGTCTGAAGGTGTGCGCTGCTGCCTGCCTGCCTGCCTGCTGTTGCTGCTGCTGTCACCTGCTGCAAATGCATTAGCGTGCACCGCTTCCTCTTTCCTCTCCAGCAACTACAGCACTCCCCAGCATTCCTCTGTTGACAACATCTCATGTCTCCACATGTTGTTCCTTCTGTTCAGAAGCTGATGATGACGCACGTGAAGCGTTTGACTCCCAACTTGATCGATCGTCCGCTTGCCGAGCTGTTGCCCAAGATTATGTCGGCTGTGCACCCCTTGGTTCTGTCCCAAGTCACTCGTGTCATCTACAGTTCGGGTATCACTTCGCTTGAGCAAGTGGACTGGAAGGCAGCGTCAGCCTCACATGCAACTCCTGCCGACAGGCTGAAGGTGCGAGGAAATGATCTTCCTTTGCGATATGCATTGTACTTGCTGTAGCCTCTCCTGACGCTCTGCCCCGTCCCCTTGTCTTTGTCCATGAGTTAGTTCGTGTCATAGTGCATTGTCGCTTCTCGTTGTTGTCTGTGTGCTTGTGTGTGAGTGTGCTTGTGTGTGAGTGTGTGTGTGTGTACTTGTCGTGTTGTGTACACGTATCAGATTCACAAACGTACACACGTACACATGCACCCACGCACACACACATGCGCACACCATGCACGCACATGCACAATCACTCTGTCACTCGTGCCTTTGGTGTCACTCACGCTGCCATAACGCACGCTCGCCTTTGATGCACGGGCTCTGCTCGCGTCTAACAGGAAGCACTCAAGGAACAACTTGGAGAGCTTCCTGCCGAGTCGACATCGTTGTCCTTTCGAGACAAGTTGAAATTGCTGCTGGCCTTGTCTTCCCACCTGCACCGCCGGGAGAAAACGGACATCATTTTCTCGCTGCAAGAGCTTGGGTATTCGTCAGTGGACGAGGTTGATTGGAGCGTTGTGCAAGAAGCCTCTGGCGTCTTCCGAGCGCCAGAAACAATCGAGGTGTGCCCCCTGTTTTGCTGACGCGCGCATGTGAATCGCTCTGTGTTTGGATTGGTTGGTTGCGTTTGTGGATTGCCCAGGCAGTTGAGTGGGTCGCTGCCTTCTGCTCTCAAATATGCGTGGAAGCACCGCCCATCAACTCACGCTGCACTGTGCTCCTGGATTTGCTGGCGTGGTTTTTTGCATAGGCACACGTGAAGCAACTTCTGCAGGGTGACAATGATGGCCACCAGTCGCTGTCGTTCCAAGAACAACTGCAGAAGCTGTTGCCAAGTCACGCACTGCGTGGAGATCAACAACGTGCCGTTGCCCACTTCATTCGTGATTTCGGGTACAAGTCGCTGGAGGAGGTGGACTGGGAGGACATCCATGAACACGTCGGCTTTGATTTCACCCCGACCGTCTTGAAGGTGCCTTGGTGCTGTGTTGTATTTGTCTGTTTCTCACCGACACATGCACGCATGCACACACACACACACACACACACACACACACACACACACACACAAGCACACAAAAGCTCAAAGATGCATGTACACATGTGAGTTTGGGCACTTGCACACGTGCTCATGAAGTTTGTTTCGACCATGCCCGCAAGTCATGGATTTAACCGCGTTTGGCCTTGCTTGGTTGTGTCATGCGGCAACAGGCGCGATTCTTGAAGGCGCTGAGGCCGTTCTCTGAACTCCCCACCTTTGAGGCCATGCTTCAGGGGGTGCTTTCCGCACAGAAGGCGTCTCATCTCATCCGACCAAGCCTGTACAAGCGCCTGCTGCGTGTGTTAGCGGAGCTCGACTACTCAAACCTTTCGGACATCAACTGGGACATCGTCCAGGAGAAGATGCATACATGTGTCCCCACAAGCCTCCTCAAGGTTTGAAACTGAGTGCGCATGCGCGTATGCCATCACTTGAACGCGAGGTGTTGTGAGGTCTTCACAATCGCCCCCGATTGTATCATGCTCACCACCACCACCAACAACAACAACACCACCACCACCAACAACAACAACAACAACAACAACAACAACAACAACAACAACAACAACAACAACAACAATGTGTTCTCACACACACACACAACTACACACTCTTGCTTACGAACGCGCACATGTACCCTCGCACACACACACGCACTTGAATTCGTTCGTCTGCATGCAGAAACACCTGGAAGTGGCGGTGCCATCAACGTACGGCGACAGCATTCCATTGCCTCGAGACCTGGGCTGTTTGCGTCCGTCTAAGGCCCAACCGAAATTGCGCAGGAAGAAAGCCAAGACGACGAGCACCAATTTACGGATGAGTCGTGCCACTCACCGCGCAGTTGTGTCTGCCGTGCAAAAGATGGGTGCTTCGTCCCTTGAGCACGTGGACTGGGCTGCCGTCAAGCAGAAACTCCAGTTGGAGTATTCTCCTAATTTTCTCAAGGTCTGCCCCAATCGTGCGCATGTGTGCGTGTACATGTGTGTGGATGAACATGTGCATGTGTGTATGTGTGAATGTGTATGTGTGTATGTGTGCATGTGTGCGAGCGAGCGAGCGTGATTATCAATTCATGTGTGCAGTGCCAGATGGAATGGCCTGTGCTGTTGATCTCAGTGTGGGTTTCCTCCTCACAAACCACGTGCAACGTGTCCGCGACTCCCACACACCCTACATTGACCGTTGGTGCAGAAACACGTGTCCCGGCGGCTTGGACGGCTGCCCATCCAAATTCAGTCATTGCCGTTTCAAGAGCGCCTGGCCATCATTCAACCCCGGCTGGAGGTGAGACACAAACCTGGTTGCCCACATGCCCACGTGCTTGCCGCAGTTGCATGCGCTTGCGTAATTGTCGTGTTCTGATCACGCAAACACGCCGTGCTCGGTTGTTGACTTGATAGGATGTGACACTGAATGATCTGGTGCTGAGTGACTCGGAGGACGAAGATAGCGACAACGAAGGTGCGGGAGACGAAAGCAGCGACTCTGACGGCGACGAAGATGACATCGAAGCCCATGATCATGAGGCAGATGATGCAGAGGAAGAGGAGGAGGAAGAAGAAGAAGAACAAATGGGAGAAGAGGAAGAGGAAGAATATGTAGAGGAGGAGGAGGACAGTGGAAAAGAGGACATGGAAGAGGACTGGGAGGCCTATGATGCAGAGGAAGCAGTGGACGAGGACGAAGACCAAGAAGAGGAAGAATGGGATGCCTCTGTTCAGGATTCCGATGGCCTCTCTGACGAGGAAGTTGTCGTGGAAGAAGTGGAGGTGGATGAAGATTTTGAGGCTGCCTCAGATCAGGATGATGTCGAGTACGAGATTGTTGAGGAAGAGGAAACCGATGATGAGCATGCCAGCGCAGCTGGCTCTGACACCGCGTCCACAAGTGGAGTTCGTGCACAGTCAGTGTTGGCCGTGCCTGCCAGTTCTCATGGGAGTGCGGAGAAGCGCCATTCGTCAACCTCCCAGGCCCAGGCATCAGACGCTGACTCTGTTCTGCTGTCCACGCCGACACCCGTGACTGTTGCCCCCGCCGACGCCTCCGCTGCACATGAGCGATCATCGCCGCAGCAAATCGGCGACAAAGAGCTGGCCCAAGAAGGGCACGATGCGGTGGCCCGTGTAAGCGATGATGGTTCCGCCTCAGCTCCCACACGCACCAAGAAGAAGCACAGGAAGAAAAAGCACAAGAAGCAGGACAAGGAACACGGTGCCAGCAATACTAGAGCTGGTGCTGGTGGTGGTAGTGGTGATGATGATAATGATGATGATGTGGGTGTTGCTGAAGCGGCGCAACCAGCACAGAGTTCGCCCGACCAAGCCGGCATAGCGCACAGCGAAGTCGACGTGCAGCAACCTGGCAGTGCAGGCTCCCCGTCAAAGAAGAGAAGAAAGAACAAGGCGAAGCACCGCAGCAAGCGCCGCAAGCTCGTCGACAGCGATAGCGACGACACAGCGCAGGCGGCACAAGAGGCTGGCGAAGATGTCGTGATTGAGGCGGCGGTGGCCCCGGATGCCGATGGGTCTGGAGATGGTGCAGAGGCATCAGAATCCGGCAAGACGGAGAAGGGAAGAAAGAAGACAAGGAAGAAGAGGAAGAACAAGAAGCACAGGAAAGACAAGCCGCTTGCCAGCGATGATGATGTGATGCCTGCGGTGGCGACACCCGATGCAAGCGACTCAGTGCGGGAGCCGATTTTGGATGACCACGAGGAAGTGGAAGAAGAAGGCGCAGTGTCGGAGCGGCAGGTGGCCGTGGCGGCAGCTGGTGAAGCAAGGGATCACGGTGAGGAAGCGACGACGAGCACGAAGAAACGGAAGAAGAGAAAGAAGAAGCACAAACGAAGCAAGAAACGTGTTGCAGGCGGCGATGATGGGCATGGGTTGAGCGCGCAGAAACGGGCCAAGGGTGGCGCGGACTCTGACGCTGAATAGCACTGAGAACAGCGAAGTGGATGTGCCTCCCTTTGGGATTTGCATGTGTGTGTGTGTGTGTGTGTGTGTGTGTGTGTGTGTGCTTGCTGGTGCTGTCGTTTTTGCTTCATCAGTCGTGATGACGGGGTTTAGGTAGCTTGTTGAATTCACCCACCCACATGTAACATGTTGGCTGATATTTGTGGTTGCTGTCAAGACGTGCAATGACGCTTTACGATGTGACATGATGTGACACGCGATTTGATGTGATGTTAAAAGTAAACAGGCAGTGTCATTGAGCAACAGATAAATAGCAGCCGATTGGCAAGACAACTTTCCGAGCAAGGGAAACAGCAGGAAAAGCAAGAAGCATACACAGGGGAATTGGGGGCCAGGCCAAGGATGAGAGAGCACGATGGTGCTCCCTTGAAGAGCACATACACGCACGTGTGACGAATGCATGGGATCAGCAGGTGCAGATTAAATAGAACGCGCGTTGAAGTTTTTGGGCAGGAACTGGTTCTTGGAGGCGTGTGAGCGCGACACTTGGATCTGCTCCAGCAACCTCGTATCCGTGACAGGCCGCCCAGAAATAACTCGGTTGAGAAACACTGTTCCATTGAAGAGAGAGAGAGTGTGTGTGTGTGTGTGTGAGTGTGTGAGTGAGTGTGTGAGTGAGTGTGAGTGTGTGTGTGTGTGTTGTTGTTGTTGTTGTTGTTGTTGTTGTTGTTGTTGTTGTTGTTGTTGTTGTTGTTGTCGTCGTTGTTGTTGAGAAAACATGTTCATGAATTGGGAGTGCAAAGATCGGCACTTCTCGATAACAAAACAAAACCGCGCCCATGCACACAACCCCCCCCCCCACCCCGGAACCAACCCCCAACCGCGCACAACTGCGCACACGAGAACGCACGCACCAAGCCTGCCGCCGACGTAGATGAGGAGAAGACCTGGCGTAACAGCGTGACGGCGCTGAAGCAAACGCTGCTTCTTCCTGTCAACGCAACGCGGAAGTGGTTGGGCGAAGATATGAGACAAAAGAGTATGATGCCTTGCACAGCGAAATTAGTGGGGGTAAACGACAAGCCGTGGAAAGGCAGACCGGATGCCTACACCATGTGTAGTGGAACGCACCCTGACAGGACGTATTTGAAGAAACGCGACACTCCAGTCTTGGTGAACTGGCACGGAAAGCGGTTGAGCCCGACGCTTCGTCTGCGTGCGTGCGTGCGTGCGTGTGTGTGTGTGTGTGTGTGCGTGTGTGTGTGCGTGTGTGTGTGCGTGTGTGCGTGTGTGTGTGTGTGTGTGCGTGTGTGTGTGTGTGTGTGTGTGCGCGCGCGTGCGTGTGCGAGAGGGACAGTAAGAGAGGGAAGGAGCAGGTGCGCATGTGTGCATGTGTGTCATGGAATCACGAGTTGCGTGAAAGTGGGCTGTGTGAGGAGCAAAATACTGTACGTATGCGTCGTACAACATGCAGCACGTGGGGCTAGTTGACGTCAGCACGCATCCAACCCAGGCTTTCAGAAATACCAACCTGTAGAGCTGATTCAGCACAGAGGCAAGGCGCGCTGAAGAATCACCGTTGGGGCCAACAACCCCAACAACCACAACGTCCGTCCTGGGAACCTACATATTCGCACACGCGCACATGTGTTCAGCGTCGTATCAGTGTGTCCAACCCGAAACGCCATGCGCCAAAGGCCAAAGGCCAAACGCCAAACAGTTCACAGAGAGCGACAGATATCCTCTCAATCGCCACCTCATGCACGCAAATGCAGGCACTCGCAAGCTTGCCAAGCGCGTGCAGCACCCCACCTTTGCTAGGTACTGATCAAACACGGCATCGGGAATGTCGGGGACTGAAGACTTGCTGCAGTTGCACACACTGCGAAAACAAGGTCGGTGCAATAAGCGAACACAAAGCAAGAGAGCAAGCAATCAATTATTGGGGCGTGTGACACACACGCACACAAGCACAAGCACAAGAACAAACACAAGCACAAACACACACAAACACAAACACACGCAAACAAAAAACACACAAAACACAAACACACACACACAAACACTAAACACACAAAACACAAACACACACACACACACAAACACGTAAAGAATACACAACAAGCGGGCCAAGACTTGAATGCAATGGCGTGCGCACCCGGAAGAGGCGGAAATGGCGCCGCTGGTGCTTCCGCGTGTGCGCACAGCCATCGCCGTTGGACACGCGACAGCGGAGGAGAGAGGTGCACCAGACACCGAGCTCGAGCGCTTCAGGAGCTGCGGATCAAAGGAGGAGCGTGACGATGACGCCGTGCGGGACTTGTTGAGCTTTCGCCGAAGCTCCAGTGGTGCTGTAGTCGTCAAATGGCAGAGGAGAGCAATCAGCATCAAGGCATGCACACACAATTCGTCAAGCAAGTGCCCGCAGATGGAACGAGACAAACGCAAGCACAAACACGATTTCAGTTGTTGCTTCGCACGTGCTTGCCACATGCAATGACGCGCGCAATGTGCTGAAGCACACGGCAGCCATTTGGACAAACACAAACAAACACACACAACAAACAAACAAACACAGGTGCGAGGGTCGTACGTGTATTTGTGGAAGAGTGCAGGGAAGAAGCGGTTGATTTCGAGCGCCGTGGGCCAGAGGGGCGACCAGTTGTGCTGTACATATCCACCACAGTGGAGGACAGAGTGCGTGGAAGTGCAGCAATGCGCACCTCTGTTGGATCCATGGCATGGACCAGACTCGTCGTGTCTCGCATCTCACCCGTCATGCGCTGTGTGTGTGTGTGTGTGTGTGTGTGTGTGTGTGTGTGTGTGTGTGTGTGTGTGTGTGTGTGTGTGTGTGTAGTGACGGTAGGTACGGTACAAGCCGCTGGCTCCGTAAAGTCATGAGGGTGGGTTCTGCGCTCCACGGCGCTGTCAGGTTAGGATAAACCCTGTGGTACGTCGCGTCGTGTGTGTGTGTGTGTGTGTGTGTGTGTGTGTGTGTGTGTGTGTGTGTGTGTGTGTGTGTGTGTGTGTGATTGCGAGTAGGTCAGCTCAACACTAGTCAACCTCATTGTGTGTTCAATGCCACATGATAGCCGAAGAACACACACATGCACGCGTACAGGAAAACCAGGCAAGGAACATCTCTTCCACCGCATATACACTTGGTGTGTACATGCATGCGGGCACACATGCACACACACGCATCCGTGCGTGGGTAGAACACAGACATGATGTTTTCCAAACGCAAACACAAAGCACACACACGCGTGTACACACTGACCGCAACGGCTGAGACGATGGTTTGCCGCGACACTTTCTCCCCTCTGTCTTGTGCAGACTTGATGTGATTGACGCACGTGCTCAAGTATGCCAGCAACACATCCGCTTTCGTTCGAAGACCTGCAAAGCGCGACAGGTGATGGTGTTACAGCGAAGCGATGAGAGTACATGCCACGCCACTGTCTCCCGCCCCAACACACACGCACGTGCACAGATCAGGCGGCATAGGTGGGAATCACACGCAACATGCACATAACACATTGTATTTCAATCATCCGCACACACATGCACACACATGCATGCACACACATGCACTCACATGCATGCACACACACACAAACGAGCAATGCGAACCTTGGAGAGCTGCGGAACTGACGGTGGGTGCAGTGCGCGCAGCAAACACTTTGGGCAGACTGCAGCCAACATTGACTGTGAGCGACTTCACTTTTGCAGGCTTGCCCCTCATCTCCGCCGGGGCAACCGTGACGTCAGGCGACAGCTCGTTCTTCTGCAGTTCGGGGATGGCACCAAGCGAGGGCCCAACGCGCCCAACGCGCAGACGGGATGCGGCCATGCGACTCAGCACCTGCGACGCGCTACTTCCATCGCTACTGCGACTGATTTTCTTTGAACGCGACGCAGGCGATTTGGAGGAGGTTGTGGACGCCAACGACGACGCACCCTCGCCGTCCCGCCCCTGCCCGTTTCCTGGGGAGACGGCTGCCTGACGAAGGTTTGCCAGCAGGGACTGAATGCGCAATTCAACCGCGCTGACATGCTGCTCGCTGCTACCCCCGCTCGACGTGCGCGCGCCATCGCCATCGTGGCTGTCGCCATCACTCTCCACGTCACTGCGCGCCTCTCGCGACGCGGACGACGCGTGAGCATTGAGTGCTGACTCGACAGTTAGTGCAGCACTGCTTGCGTTTGTAGGTACCTCGCCACCTGTTGCTGTCGATGCTCGTCCACTGCGCTGGGCGGCACTGCTGCCGTCGCCTGCACTGTCTGCAGCACCTGTCGCCCCATTTGCGGCACCGCGCTTCCGCTGATTGGCGGATGCGGCGCGGCTTGAGCCGCTGCGCCCGACGCCCTTCCCCGACGCCGCCGACCCGCCCCGGACACCACGGCCGCTGCCACCACGAGGTGGCTTCTTCCCCTTGCTTCGGCCTGCTGAGGTGGGAGCAGCGTTTGCGTCGACGGCGGTTGTGTCGGCTGTGGTTGTGATGGTTGGCGTTGTTGCTGTCCCCGCAGTAGCGGTGCCGCCGTGGAAGGGGCCACTGGTTCCGTTGCTGCCTGTGCCACCGCGTTTGGAGCCGGGGCCAGCGGCGTCTGCCTCGGTGCCCGTGGGCACAGCGCCTGTCGTCGATGACGTGTCTGTCGCGGAGACGGGGAGCAGCCCAGCCGGCGTGAGCCGCTGCTGGCGGTTGCCTCTGCCCTCCCGCTGCTGCGTGTGCAATGTGGAGGTATCGCCGTCTGGGCAGCGGAGGGTGAGGCTAATGTCATGCTTTGAGTTGATGCGCAGCGTCAGGTGCGGATTGAGCTGCCGGATATGTGTCATGGCATGGCCCCACTTCCATTCCTTCACCAGCCTGCCTTCTTCGTCAAACAGACAACCGCCGTCAACGGATGTGCTCACGTACGGGGTGGTGAGTCCGGCCTTGTAGCACGTGCCCCCGCCGAGCGGCGACAACGACGCTAGCAACTGCCCACTCTCAGCGTCGTCAAACGCCCACAGGTATGTGCCATGCGCGCACAGGCTGGTGCAGATGGCAAGGCGGCCGGATGGGTAGTAAGCAGTGCCTGTGCCGTCATTGAGTGCCACAAACAACCGCCCGCTGCGATAGCGCTCCTCCGCACACACACGCGAGCGCGGGAGGCCATCGCGCTTCTGCCGCGCACGTGTGGACGGCCGGCTCGGGCTGATGGCGGTACTGAGCGCCGTGTCCGTGTCTGCAGTGCTGGCGCTGCTGTCCTCGTCAGCTTTCGTGTTCAATGTTGCTTGAGGCGCGGTGCGCGGCGAAACAGGCGCTCGCCGGAGTGGTGGAAGGTAAGCCGTGCCACCATTGGACGTGGTGACGTCCTTGCCATCGATGCTCGCGCTGATGCCTGTGCCGGTTCCACCGTTGCTGCTACTGCCACCACCGCTGCCGCTGCTGCCGGCGCGTCCACGACGACGCCGCCGTTGTTGTTGTTGCTGTTGCTGCTGTCTGCGAGTGCTGCCCAGGGTTTCGACGTCCTGGTGGTCAGCGGGGGCATCTGGCGCATCAAAGTAGTTTGCACCCATGCGCGAACGGCACAGGCGCACCTGGGCCAGGCCTGCTGCCCACTCCTGCATGGTTTGCCGCTGCGGGTTGAATGCGTTGAGGTCACCAACAACCCAACCCCTGTTCATTGCCATTTCCTCCTTGTAGGAGAAGCGCAACACAGCCTTGCGCTGGAAGTGGGTGGGTGCCGGCTGCTGCGTGTGGTGGTGGTGCAACAGCTGCGGCTGCAGGGCAAATGCGTCTTCGATGGTGAGCGAGTTGCCACTGCGCTGCTGCTCGGCCTGCGCATCTGTCTGCAGCAAAGAGCCGCCGTCCGCGCCATCACCAGGGCGGGCCATGCTACGGCGCGGGCTGGCTGCGCGGGAGGCGTCCTGCTGCTGCACACGCGACACGCGCCGACGCTGGCCCTGCGAACCCGACAAGCGCGCAGAGCCACGCCGCTGTGTTTTGTGCGGACTCGGCGATGGTGATCGCTGGCGATGGTGCTGCTGCTGCTGCTGCTGTTGTTGTTGTTGTTGACGCTGCTGCTGTTGCGGCTGTTTGGAAATGCGCACGGCTGGCGGCAGGCCAGATGTTGGGTGCGTGTAGTGCTGCTGAAGCACAATATCGCTGGCACTGTGTGTGTGTGTGCGTGTGTGAGGCACATCACAGGGGACAGTTGTGGTGGTGGCCAGTGAGCGGTGTGGTGTGGTGATGTGTGGTGCTGTGTGGTGTCGTGGTGTCGTGTGATGTCGTGGCGTTTCGAGGAAGAGGCAGAGTTCAAAGAGCAGGAGCAACAAACATGACAAATTGATGGCAAATAACAATGCAAGCATTTGAACGGCTGGCGAGGCACTCATGCCATCACTGATGTTACATGCACACCTTCGAGTCTGCATATCTGGGCTGTACTCTGTGTTGTGAAAGAGCTCGGCACGTGTTTTTCGATCCGCCCACGCAACAATGGGCGCAGTGAGTGGATGCCCTGCCATGTTGAGATGGTAGCGACAATACGCAAGCAGCAGCAGATGAAGCTGAGCAGACACACAAGACTCCTGGCTTGCACAAGCCAGGCAAGCGATGGAATACGACGTGATACGCAGGGAATAAATATGTAGACGCATACACGCACACGCGCACGCCACACAAACACATGTACACACACGCACACGTACGTACACACACATATGTACGTACACACGCACGTACACAATGCGCACCTGCTTGCTTGCGTGAGAGACGAGGCGAGGCTGTTGTCGACGATGTGGTGGTAGGGGTGTGGCCTTGGGTGTCGCCAGATATTAAAGTCTCAGATGGATGCGCAGTTGATGCAGCTGCTGCGGCTGCTCCAGAATCGCTACGTCGATGCCGCCCACGCTTCTCCTCACCTTCCTCCGCCTCTGCTTCCTGCTGCTGCTGTTGGCCTTGTGTGCGAGTGGAGCGTCGGCGCCTGGGCTGGTTGGCCTGAGACCCCCTTCGACTGGCGGTGGCTGAGCCCGGCTGGCTATCAACTTGCACCTGGGGCACGAACGCCTTCTGTGCTCCAAACTGCTGTTGCTGTTGCTGTTGCTGTTGCTGTTGCTGGGGTTGGGGTTGGGCTGTGCGCTGTTGCTGTTGCGCTGCAACCGACAGGGAGATGCGAGGAGCACGCTGTTTGTCGTCCCTTCCGCGTGTTGGTGGCGGTGATCCGCGCTGGGCTGCCTGGTCCTGAAGAACCGCCTGTAGCCGCCGAGAGCGGCGCCTTGCGTGCGGTGTGTCGGGAAGGGCGATTGAGGCTACGCTTCCACGCGACTTCTTGTTGCTGGTACTGGGGCTGCTTGTGTTGGCGGCGAGAGACGACGCCGATGGCGACGGCGATGGCGATGCTCTGGAGCGGGGGCGTTGCGTGTGCGGCCGGCGCTGGTCTCCGTCAGCAGCAGCTGCGTTGTCTGCGTCTTCGAAATCGCTGTCGTCGTTGTCGTCACCGGCGTGGTTGGCCTTGGCGTGGCGACGCGAGACGCGCTTGCGGTACGCCTTGGTGGGCAGGTGCTGGTCGGTTGGTAGGCGCTCGTAGTTTGTATAGAGGTGGCAGATGTAGGCGCAGGCTGCGCAGGGTGCTGGCGTGTGCTCTGGAAGTTCGAGGGCGAAGAGAGCTGGGCTGGTGCCAACCTTCTCGCAGAAGCAGGTGATGCAGTCGTATGCGCTATTGGGCTGCCCCTGGATGATCAGGATGTGGCGATCGTTGAGGGTGAGCAGAAACGGGCGCTGGTCCGGTGGAAGCTTCTCAGTGTCGGAGAGGTTGAAGGTGGCAAGCTGGGTGTTGTCGCGGCGTGCCTCTGTCTCGGCGGCAAATGCGTCCTCCCCAGTGAGTGCAGAGAGGTAGGCTGGTGCAAGCTGCTCGTTGACCCCCGGGGGTGCAGCGAAACTGCGAATCACAGAGAGCGGTGGTAGAAACGACTCGCTACCGTTGTCACTGGTGCCGGCACCAGCAAGGGCGAGCTCGGCGTCGATGAAGGACCAGACCTCGTAGCTGGCACGCCGCTTCTGGTGGATCTGCTGCGCGCGCTCTGCTGGGGAGGCGGCGGTGTCCTTGTTGTTTGGCTTTGCTCGAAATGCCTTGCCGATGGAGAGGGCAAGCCGCAGGGTCCTGAGCCCTTGCGAGAACTTGCGCTTGGCTGCACCTCCCTGTGCGTGGCAATGCGCAGCGATGCGATGGCCCGGGTCCACACCACACAGCTGGTCAAAGAACACGGGCAGATCGTCCATCAGCCCGTCCGTGGTGGTGCCAAGCGGGCGAGGCGGTGGGCGAGCTGTGTGGTGAGCCTCTCACGATGGTGCAATGCTCGGTGCGATGCTCGACCAAAACCAACCCAAGCCAACAAGCTTGGTGTGGGATACTTGGTTGCGTTGTGATGTGTGTTGTGCTCGTGTGTTCGTGCGTGTTGTGGTTTGTTTGTTGTGCTCGTGTGTGAGATGCTGCGTTGTGTGTTGTGGTTGTTTGGTGTGGATTGTTGCGAATTCGAGCGGCAAGCGAGCGCTGGTGGTGTTGGCCGGTACGGTAAATTTGCCATATCTTCAATTAATTATCACATTCGTTGTCAAGCAGGCGAAGCGGCTGGCAACCAGCAGTGTGTGTGTGTGTGTGTGTGTGTGTGTGTGTGTGTGTGTGTGTGTGTGTGTGTGTGTGTGTGTGTGTGTGTGTGTGTGCTGTGGCAGCTACGACAGGCGTGCGCTGAATGTACAACTGACATGGAAACAACCGGGTCAGGAAGTAGTAGAGTATGTACAAAACAGTGCATACCTCCATGGTGCCATGTTATGCATAGCGCTGCGGTGGCGCTTGCTGGTGTTGCTGGTGTTGCTGCTTGGAGGTTTGTTGCTGTAAGGACCCAAGTAAGGCGCGGCAGTAGTCCTGCACATGCAGCGAGAAATCCTGCGTCTCCAGTTGCTGAATGAGGTCCACCACCGTTCGCTTTGGCAGGTGGAGTCTGTAAATGAGGTCAAAGTTTGAGATGATGCGGGCTGCCTCCGCCGATGCAATGTGGCCCTTGTCATCTTGCTGTGCCAGCATAGCTCGGTTCATGGCATCAAAGCCATGCATCCACTCGCTCAAGTCAGTTGCGCTCCGCACCAGCCTCTGGGGATGCTGCTGTGACACAGGAGGGGACCGCGGTCTGGCTTGGAACGATGGCTGATGCTGCTCTTGTTGGCGATAACTGTGGTTTTGCTGCTGCTGCTGCTGCTGCTGCTGCTGCTGCTGATGTTGCTGTTGCGGCTGCAATTGCAATTGCGTTTGTGAATGATGCTGATGCTCTTCTCGTCGATGGTACTCGGGCTGGTGGTGGGCTTGCTGCTGCTCAGATGGTCGAGCAAGGGTCGGAGATGGGGCTGCAGCGGTAGTGTCGGATGAGCGCGTGTCGACATTCACCGTAGCTGGTGTCGAGGAGATGGGTGGCAATTTGTCGTACTTGGAAAACACTCCGACGCCTCCTGCGAACCCATATGGCCATGGCAGGCGCAGGCTTGGTCGTGAGTCGACAACAAATAGACATTTTCCAAACCACACCAGATTCAGAGCCAAAAACAAACACACGCGCAACACAACTGCAAAAACACACAAACCCACAACACGCACACACACATGCACACAACGTGAGTTGACGACAACAACGACGACAAACCTGCTTGTGGAGCGCGAACGAGAGCCGCAGTAAGCACAGCGTTGCTGTTGTTGTTGCTGCTGCTGCTGTTGTTGGGGGCAGCGGAGACGACGCCTGTTCGCGACAGCATCTTGCGCAGTGGAGATGGGCGCCCTTGATCGTGTTGGTGCTGCTGCTGAAGATTGTGCTGATGATGGTGATGGTTGTGGTTCTGGTGGTGGTGGTGGTGGTGTGTTGCATTTGAGGACTGAAGGAATGGGGTGTACACAGCAGACGTTGCGGGTATGGCCGCCGTTGAGGCCACGTGCGATGTCGCTATATGATGATGCAGTGGTGTTCGCAGCGCGTCCCGTGGCCGGGGTGCCTCGTCCCGCTTCGCAGCGTCGATCGCACCTTGCAGCGCACTGAATAACGCAGACGCACATGCCACAGGGAAGTGATGAGCAACACTGTTCGCCGTGCATGAACGTGCATACGCAAACATGAACCGCAACAACTCACGTCAGTGATATTGTTCCGTTGCGGCGTGTGTCGAGTGACCTGAATACAACACAGAGAGAGAGAGAGCAGCAGCAGCAGCAGCAGCAGTGGCAGTGGCAGTGACAACAGAAACGTGAGTTGCACCTTCAAAGTTGGGCTTTAACAACGCCCGAGGCGAAAAGAGGAGGAAACACTCGTCATCATGCCAACTAAAGACAGACCCCATCCACCAACCAGGTACTTGCTCCCATCTTCACGACCCATTACGGCACACACCCTCCCCCTCCCCCAACCCGCTTTGGGCGCAGCTCCTTCTTATGTGAGCATTCACCATGGTGGCACGCAGACACAGCGGTACGCACTCGAGCCACTGCCGAAAGAGGGGAAGGTTGAGCACGAGCTGCGCTTTTCGCAGGCACTTGATGACGGCCTCGTGCAAGAGATTGCCGTGAAGGTCGCGCTGCGAGTTCTGCAGCAGAGATTCAAACCTGTATGCGCGAGCGTACGTTCATGAGTGTGGGTCACAAGCTGGAGGTGAGGAAGCAAGTGTGTGTGCGTGTGTGCGTTTGTGTGTGCGTGTGTGCGTGTGTGTGTGCGTGTGTGTGTGCGTGTGTGTGTGAACCTGTATGACTCACTGACTCAGCTCAGTGGCTGTGTGATTACGTGAGTGCGTGTGTGTGTGTGTGTGTGTGCGTGTGTGAGTGTGACCGACTGTGATTGTGTGACTGAGTAACAGGATGAACAACGGATGTGAGAAGGAGCCTGTGAAGAGAGAGTGTGTGTGTGTTGATCGGGGGTATGGCAGCGTATGCTTACAGGGCCAGTGCTCTTGGGTTTTCTCTCATGTCTTGCAGGAGACTCTCTGGCACATTGATGGCCGGCCCAGATGAGCGCCGCCCCTGCGATCCAGAGGACGGTCTCCCTCTTGAGGAGGCCTGGTCCAGGCGCGCAAGAGCAGCAAACAGTGTGGCGGTGGTGGCGGTGGTGGCGGTGGAGGTAATGAGGGGAGAAAGCTCTATCGCTTGGGTGCTGCTTCATATACTTGTGCACACACACACACAATCCACACACAGGCACAATCCACACACGCACAAGTACAGCCTAGACATACACACACAACACACAGCCACACACATATGCATCCAAACGAATACAGCTCTCTACCTCAAACGCACAATCCACACACACACACACACACATTCACACACACATTCACACACACACACACATTCACACACAACACACAGACACGCAAATGTCTCTCTCTGTGCAGAAAATACGCACTGTGGACGGTGTTTGATGACGCTGTTGAGACGATGACGACGCAGGCCCATTCCCGCGCAGCTCGATGAGCTTGCCTTACAATGTATACCCAGGTAGTGTTGAAGGTCAAGCAAGGCACAGGTCTTCTTGCCACCAGCAAACAAGTCATGGCACACAAACAACACAAAGAAGCAGTATCCACATACACGCAACATACACACACATGCACACTCACACGCACAAGCACAAGCACACCACACATACATGCACGCACAAACACACACTCACCACCGCGAAGCACGGTGCGAATGGAAGCTTGGCCGTCGTGTCCAAATGGTGCGTCTGCCATGGCGATCGCTGCTCAAACAACCACAACAACCACAACAACCACAACAACCACAACAACCACAACAACCACAACAACCACAACAACCACAACAACCACAACAAGCCAAGCACAAGCCCAGTACAAGCGCCACAAGGAAGCGAGACGAGAGGTTGTGCGTCAGCTCGCCCGTCACAACAGTCCTCAGCGTCGTAGTTGTTGCTGTGGATGCAGGCTGTGATTGTTGGTAGATAACTTCAGCAACATTTCGCTTAGCGACCAACTGCAACTCATCGGCGGTTGGTTTGGCTCTCAACGCACACACAACGCACAAACGTCGTCGAGCACTGGCTGCTGGGAGCGACAGCCACAGCACGGCCACAGCACAGCCACAGCGCAGCCGCAGCCGCCATCAAGCAACGAGATAGGTTGTGGCGGGAAGGAAGCAAGCAAGCAAGTGAAGGAGTGCGCCAGGCCTTCCCCTTTCCTCACAATTATCCGCTCTTGAGGCGGGGGTTCAACCTGCGTTGTTACCTTACCACCACATTGACATTGCGGCATCAACCACCAACAAAACAACACACTCACCTGGAACAACAATGAGCGAGAACACAACAGCAACAGCACAGGAGCCCTCGGCCCAAGCTGAAGCGAACGCCTCCGCAACACCACCGCCAGACACGACAGACAACCAACAAGCACAGCAGGAGCAAGCACAACAGGAGCCGCAGTCCCAGGAAAGCAAAGACAAGGCGCCTGCCGCACGTGCTGACGGAGGCACCGCAAATGCCATGTCCAAGAGCAGCAGTATCAAGGCCTCCAAACGGGCATCGGCTGTACAAAGCAAGGCCGGTACCAGAAAGGCCTCTGCCATCAACACACGTGCGTCTTCTGCGGTCGGTGACAGAGGAGGAAATGAGGACGAGGAATATGAGGAGTATGAAGACGATGAAGAGGAACTTGCTGACGAGGAGGAATCGGACGGTGAGGAGATTGAGGTCCTGGTCGATCCCCAGCCAGACCCTGATCCCATCCCTGCTCCACCGCCAAAGCCAGCAAACCTTCGTGACTTTATGGTACGTTGTGACTGCAGTGGGAAAGTGCATTCATGCCCGCTCATGTACTTGAAGCGCTGGCTCCTGTGCACGCACATATCCATGAAATGACTCTTTCATTCACGTGTGTGCGCGGCCTGAGACTCTGTGGAAGGGAGGCGGGGTTTCATGTATTCTCCACCATGTCGTGTGCAACACACACACACACACACACACATGTGCACATATGCACATCGCACACACACAGACATTCACATACACATCGCACACACACATACACATCGCACACGCACACACACACACACAGACACACACATACACATCACACACACACAAAGACTCTGCCCCAAGCACTCGCCTGCTATCCGTCTGTCCCTGTGCTGTACTTCTAACTCTTCTGCTCCCCGCTTTATTTCTCGTAGGTGAACGAAATCAAGTCGCGGGTACACCTCGAGGGCACGACGGAGAGTGAGTGGAACAACGACATGTCGTTCCAGGCCATCTTCAACTTCTTCACACGGCGCTCCTCCGTCCTGCTGACCGTGTACCAGTCCGAGGGCATGCTGGTTGTCAGCCACTCGCCACCCGCATATCCGGTTGGCCGCCTCATCTACTTTGTTCGCGCCAAGCCCGAGCTCATCTACCCAGACTCGCAGTTTGACGACATTGTGCACACGGGCGTGCTGCAGCAGGACTACCTGGACAGCCTCGTGCGCCTGATGAACGACCTCTTCTCCCCGCTCATGTCACACGCCGCCAAGCAGTGGCCCGACAGCGTACGCAACGAGTTTGCCGCAGGCATGAACCGCTTCATGTCCTCGCTCACAGACGTGGCCAGCAAGTCTGACCACAACACCGTCCTGTATGTGCCCAACGAGGACCTCTCGCGCCCAATGGAGGTGATGCTTGCCGACCGTGACTTGGTGCAACGCCTGGAGACAACCGTCATCCGCTGGACGCGCCAGGTGAAGGATGTGCTCAACACCACGCACGCGGAGCAGGGCGCAGATATTGAGCTGCCCACGGATGAGATTGACTTTTGGCAGCGGCGCTTCCAGGACATGTCTGGCATAAGTGAGCAGCTGGACAAGGAGGGCGTTGCCACCATTCTCAAGATATTGGAGGCAGCCGGCTCCTCGTACCTCAACCAGTTTCAGAGCTGGTCCCAACGCATCAAGGACGGCATGGAAGTGGTGCGTCATTCGTTTGTTCGCATGTTTGTGTGTGTGTGTGTGTGTGTGTGTGTGTGTGTGTGTACGTTTACGTGCGTGTATGGGATCTTAAACTTGTGTCTGTTTGTGTGTCTGTCTATCTCCATCTGTGCATGTCTGCCTTCGTCTGCCTCTGTGTCTGTGTGCGTGTGTGTCTGTGTGTCTGGTTTTGGTTGCGTCTATGGGCGCCCTGAGTACTGTTCAACCACTCACACACACACATACACACACACACATACACACACACACCATCTCCAACCACCACCCAACCCCTTTCTCGCCTTTTTGTTCCTGTAGTCCAAAGCCAACTTCAAGTTTCTCGGGGTGCTGCGTGACCCGTGCACGCGGCTGTACACGTCTAACCTCAACGCCATTGCGGAGAAACTGCCCACCATCATTGACCTGATCCGCCTGATTGAGCTTCACTCGCAGCACTACACCTCGCGTGAGCAGATCACGTCCCTGTTTCAGAAAGTCTCCAACGCCATCATCATGCGCTGCCGCGAGTGCATCTCCCTGGACGAGATCTTCGAGGGTGATGTGGACGACAGCGTGCGCATTGTCACGGACGCCATCAGCTGCTGCGAGGCGTGGAAGAGCATCTACGAGAAGCGCAAGGCCGCCCACCTCCCGCACTCGAGCAAGCCATGGGTGGTGAGCCACTCCAGCGTGTTTGCCCAAATTGACGCCTTTATCCAGCGGTGCAAGGACCTGCTCATCGTCTGCTCGGGCCAGAAGCATTTTGCGCGCAAGAAGGGCGTGGACAAGGTGCCGCTGCCCCACTTTGCCGGCACGCGCGGCCTCGAGGTTGCCCGCGCACTCTCCGGGGTGGAGGCGCGCTTTGAGGAGAGCCTCACGCTGCTGCGTAAGCACGAGGCACACATCCTGGACGTCAAGTCCTCCAAGTACCAGGGGTACTTCAACACCTTCAAGGAGTCTGTCAAGGAGCTCGAGGTGATGGTGCAGAACGCGGTGACCACGGCCTTCCAGCACGTCACCACCGTGGAGAACGGGGTGGAGCTCATCGAAACCTTTGGGCCCCTGGGCCAGCGCGACATTGTCAAGCGCGCGCTGGACAAGTGCACGGCCCACGTGTTCAAGATGTTTGCAGACCAGCTAGAGGACGTCAAGGCGTACTTCAACAACTACCGCCAGGCGCCGCCGCTGGAGCCCGGCATGCCCCCGTACGCCGGCGCCAGCATGTGGGCCACGGGCCTCCTCAACCAGATCACGCATGTGCACGGCGCGCTGGCCAACGCCAAGTACGTGCAGCCGGGCGCGTTTGGGGACGAGGTGCTGCACCAGTACACGCTCCTCGCGGGCGCATTGCGCGACTTTGTCAGCAAGGCGCACTCCACATGGGTGGGCGAGATAAAGACGGACCTGGCTGCCCTGCTCAACAACCCGCTGCTGAAGCGCGACGGCACGCGCACGCTGCTGCTGCTCAACTTTGACAAGGACCTGCTGGTCCTGTTTGCGGAGGTGAAGCACTGGCTCAAACTGGGCCTGGACATCCCCAGCACCGCCATGGAGATGTTCCACAAGAACGAAGAGCTGCGCGCGCTGCGCTGCTTCATCATGCTGGTGGTGCGCGACTACAACCAGATCATCGAGAAGCTCTCCGTGGAGGAGCAGGCCCTCTTCCGTGAGCGCATCCGCTTCCTCGACAGCAAGGTGCAGCACGGGCTCACCAAGCTCACCTGGGCCTCCAAGGGCATCAAGGACTACTACGTCGCCGACTGCCGCATGCACGCCAAGCAGCTCAAGGAGCACGTGGACAAGTACATGCTCACCAACCAGCGCATCGCCCGCCTGTGCGCCTACGCGGAGAAGCAGACCATGGTCAGCATCAGCCTCAAGCGCGTGTACACGGTGACGGAGTTCCACGAGGCGCAGCAGGAGCAGATTGCCGCCGTGCGCAAGCGCTTCCTCGACGTGCACCGCGAGATTGTGCGCAACCTGCAGAAGACGTACGAGGTGTTCAAGAAGGACGGCCACGACGTGCAGCAGCACTGGCGGCGCTACGTGCAGAAGGTGGACCGCATGCTCGAGGAGTCGCTGCGCACAAATGTCAAGCGATCCCTCAACGAGTTTGTGCGCGCCATTGTCGGCGATGGCAAGAGCATCCCCAGCCCCGTGTTCAGGGTCAACGTGGCGCTGGAGGACCGCAACATCGTGCTGCAGCCCACGTACGGCCACCTCTGCGACGTCGCCCTCAGCCTGCACAAGGAGATGGTCGACGCGCTGCTTGGCCTGGACAGGCTCACCACCATCCTGTGCAAGGGCATCCCCGCCAACGCACAGCTGCACTCGCGCACAACGCGCACGCAGGCCTCTCTCGCTGCGACATCCTCCCACGGCAGCGGCGCCGGCAACCGCAGCAACAACGCCCTGCGCAAAGGCGCGGCCAAGACGGGCACGACGTCGTCGCTGGCCGCCGCGTCCACGGCAACCGTGTCCACAACCGCAGCCGCAGCGCGCGACGGGCTGAGCTTCTTCGAGTGCTCGCGTGACGACGCAGACGTGCTGAAGATGCGCCGCTACCTGGAGCAAGGGCTCAAGGACAACGAGCCCAACCTGCGCGACTACGTGGGCGTGTGGCACGAGTCGTACCACGAGATTTGGCAGACGGACATTGAGCGCTTCCTGCAGCGGTACGCGCAGATGAACCCGCCGCTGGCCCAGTTTGATGGCGACATTGCCCGCTATGCAGAGGTGGCCAACAACGTGCAGAAGGAGGAGACGTTCACGCCGATCAACTTTGTGCAGCTGGACTGCACCATGCTCAAGTACAGCCTGCTTGAGCTGTGCAACCAGTGGCAGGAGCAGCTCACGGAGCTGCTTCACCGCCGGGCCAAGGGCGACCTGGCGCGCGTGCGCGAGTACCTGCAGACGCAGTCGGAGCTGCTGTCGCGCGTGCCGGAGGGCCTGAGCGAGGTCATCTCGGCCGTGGAGAACCTCAACGCAGCCAAGGCGCAGGCGCCGCGCGTGGAGGCCAAGTTTGGCCCGCTGCAGGAGGAGTTTGAGATTCTGGAGAAGTACGAGGTGGAGCTGAGCGACGAGGTGAGCGCGCAGCTGGACAGCCTGCCTGCGCAGTGGAACAAGTTCAAGCTCGCCCTGGACCAGGCCGACGACATCCTGGCCGACGCCAAGGCCAAGTGCAAGACGGACCTGCTGGCGGACATGGACGACCTCTCGCGCAGCGTGACGGAGGTGCGGGCGACGTTTGTGACCACGGGGCCCTTTGCGGCAACCATCACCCCGGACGAGGCGCTGCAGGCGATTGAGGAGTTTAGGCACAAGCTGGAGAACATCCGCTCGTCCGAGGAGTCGCTCAAGGCCGGCCTGAAGGTGTTTGGCATCAGCCACGAGCCGTTCAAGGAGGTGGCGGACACGCACCGCGACCTGGACCAGCTCACGCAGCTGTGGACCCTGGCCAAGGAATGGGACGACCGCTACAACGAGTGGAAGCAGACGCAGTTTGCGGACGTGGACACGGACGCCATGGAGCAGCAGGCCGTGCAGTACAACAAGAAGTTTGTGAAACTCGCGCGCGAGGTGAAGGACAAGGACTGGGACATGGTGCAGACGTACCGGCGGCGCGTGGAGCAGTTCAAGCGAACCATGCCGCTGATCCAGGACCTGAAGAACCCGGCGCTGCGGCAGCGCCACTGGCACGAGCTGCAGGAGCACGTGGGCAGCACCTTTGATCACACGTCGGCGGAGTTCACGCTGGGCACCATGATTGACCTGGGCTTTGACCGCTTTGTGGAGGAGGTCAACGCCATCTCCGGCGCCGCCAGCAAGGAGCTGTCAATTGAGCAGGGCATTGACGAGATTGCAGAGGTGTGGGGTTCCACGTCGCTGGAAATTGGGGCGTACAAGGACCGCGGGCACTACACGCTCAAGGGCACCGACGAGATCTACCAGCTGCTGGAGGACCACCAGGTGACGCTGTCCACAATGAAGGCGTCGCGCTTTGTCAAGGCGTTTGAGAGCGACGTGGACTTTTGGGAGCGCACGCTGTCCATGGTGCTGGAGGTGATTGAGGTTCTGCTGACGGTGCAGCGGCAGTGGATGTACCTGGAGAACATCTTCACGGGCGAGGACATTCGCCGCCAGCTGCCCATTGAGACTAACAAGTTTGACGCCATCGACGACCAGTTTCTGAAGATTGGCCAGCGCTTGCACGAGGACCCCAACGCGCAGCGCGGCACGCACGCCAAGGGCCTCCTGCAGCAGCTCAACGACATGAACTTGGTGCTGGAGCAGATCCAAAAGTCGCTGGACGAGTACCTGGAGACGAAGCGGCAGTACTTCCCGCGCTTCTACTTTGTGTCCAACGACGACCTGCTGGAGATTCTCGGGCAGTCCAAGAACCCCAAGGCCGTGCAGCCGCACCTGCTCAAGTGCTTTGACAGCATCAAGGCGCTCGAGCTCAACACGCCCCCCGGCCGCAAGGTCACGCAGGCGCTGGGCATGCACTCCCCCGACGGCGAGTATGTGCCGTTCAAGGTTCCCGTGGCGCTCGATGGCCCCGTCGAGTCGTGGCTGCTGAAGGTGGAAGGCGAGATGCGGCACAGCCTCAAGGCCCTGCTGCAGGACTCCATCGTGGCCCACAAGAAGCAGAAGCGCGACAAGTGGCTGCGCGAGTGGGCGGGCCAGCTTGTGCTCACCGTGAGCCAGCTGGCGTGGACCAGCCAGTGTGTGGCAGCCATGTCGGACGCCAAGGGCGGCCCGAAGAAGGGCCTGAAGGTGCTCAAGAAGAAGTGGGTGTCGCTGCTGAACAAGCTCACGGAGGCTGTGCGCAGCGTGAAGAACAAGACGCAGCGCAAGAAGCTGGTGGCGCTGATCACCATCGAGGTGCACTCGCGTGATGTGATTGACAGGCTGACCAAAGTACCCAACATCAACCACAACGCCTTTGAGTGGCTCATGCAGCTGCGCTTTTACTGGGAGCAGTCCCAGCAGCAGCAGCAGCAGCAGCAACAACAACAGCAGGCGCAGGGCTCGCAGCAGGATGGCCAGGGCCAGGGCGGCAAGGAGGATGTCGGTGTTGACAAGGCTGTTGCCGCTACTGTTGTGGGCAAAGGTGTTGGTGGCATTGGTGGCACCAGCGGCTCGGATGCAGCCACTGTAGGCGAGTGCGTGATTCGGCAGACAAATACGCGCTTCACCTATGGCTACGAGTATCTGGGCAACTCTGGGCGTCTTGTCATCACGCCGCTGACAGACCGCTGCTACATGACGCTGACAACGGCGCTGCATCTCAAGCGCGGTGGCAGCCCCAAGGGGCCAGCAGGTACCGGCAAGACAGAGACGTGCAAAGATCTTGGCAAAGCCCTCGGTGACTACGTCATCATCGTCAACGTAAGTGTGCTATGTTTGTTTATTTGTTTGTTTGTTTGTTTTGTTTGGTTGTTTGTTTTGTTTTGTTTGTTTGTTTGTTTATTTGTTTGTTTGTTTGTTTGTTTGTTTGTTTATTTGTTTGTTTGTTTGTTTGTTTATTTGTTTGTTTGTTTGTTTGTGTCTGCCTGTCTGTGTGCCCATGGGTATTTAATGTTGCGGTTTGCACTGCTTTTATGGTGCGGTTTGCTCATGTCATGGAGGTGAATGACACATGACTCACACTCGTACCATCTTCTTCATCGCCTTGTGTTGTGTCGTTGCAGTGTGAGTACTTGTGCTCTTCGAGGCCCACGTGGCAGTGCACGTGGTGGCGTGCGAATAGAAGCGTGTGCCTTTTTCTGTTCTCGCGCTCGTCCTCTGCTACTGTTCCTCACCTCACACTTCCACACGCACTTATTTAATTGAAGACACTCTCCCGCTCACTTCACACTCACACTCACTCACTCACTCACTCTTATTACTCGCTCACTTCACACACATATACACACACACTCTCTCTCTCTCTCTCGCACTTCACACTCACTCACTCTTACTCACTCTTACTCACTCACAATCACTCTTACTCACTCACTCACAATCACTCACAATCACACACGCCGTGCGCAGGCTCTGATGGCATGGACTACAAGAGCCTTGGCGGGATGTTCTCGGGTCTGGCGCAGACAGGCGCGTGGGGCTGCTTTGACGAGTTCAACCGCATCAACATCGAAGTGCTGTCTGTAGTGGCACAGCAGATTCTGTCCATCCTGCAGGCGCAGATCCCGCTGTCACCGGACAACCCGCAGCGCCGCTTCATCTTTGAAGGCACGGAGATCAACCTGCGGTGGTCCTGCGGCGTCTTCATCACCATGAACCCCGGCTACGCCGGGCGCACGGAGCTGCCAGACAACCTCAAGTCCATGTTCCGGCCCATCTCCATGATGAAGCCGGACACGGGCCTGATTGCAGAAATTATCCTCTTTGGGCAGGGCTTTAGCAACACGCGCGTGCTGGCCAAGAAGGCAGACACGCTGTACAAGCTGGCGGTGCAGCAGCTGAGCAAGCAGGACCACTATGACTTTGGGCTGCGCGCGCTCGTGTCGACGCTGCTGTACGCCGGTCGCAAGCGCCAGGCCATGCCGGACATTGCCCACGAGGAGGTCCTGCTCATGGCAATGAAGGACATGAACGTGGCCAAGATGACCAACACGGATCTGCCGCTGCTGCAGGGCATGATGGCCGATCTGTTCCCCGGCGTGGAGACGCACGAGGAGGACTACGGCAAGTTCAAGGAGGCCATTGTGCAGGACCTCAAGGCAAACGGGTACCAGACAACAGACTGGATGGTGACCAAGGTCATCCAGCTGTACGAGACGAAGAACTCGCGCCACGCCGTCATGATCGTTGGCCACACGGGCAGCGGCAAGAGCGTGGCCTGGCGCACGCTGCAGCGCGCCATGTCGCAGTGTAAGAAGGACAACGTGCCCGGGTTTGAGGTGGTGCGCGACTACCCGCTCAACCCAAAGGCGCTGTCCCTGGCAGAGCTCTATGGCGAGTTCAACATCGCCACCAACGAGTGGGCGGACGGCGTGCTGTCTTCGGTCATGCGCACAACGTGCTCGGACGACCGCTCGGACCAGAAGTGGATTGTCTTCGACGGCCCCGTCGACACGTTGTGGATTGAGAGCATGAACTCAGTCATGGACGACAACAAGATCCTCACGCTCATCAACGGCGAGCGCATCTCCATGCCGTCGCAGGTTTCCTTGCTGTTTGAGGTGGAGGACCTTGCCGTGGCCTCCCCAGCTACCGTGTCCCGCTGCGGCATGGTGTACCACGACACGCGTGACCTTGGCTGGCAGCCGTTTGTTGCGTCGTGGCTGGACGCCTTCCCCGACAAGGGGCTCGTCCCCGTCCTGCGTGACCTCTTTGACAAGTTTGTGGACAAGATGCTCACGTTTGTGGACGCGCAGTGCGTGGAGCTCGTGCCAACATCGCAGCTGAACCGCGTCAAGTCTCTGTGCTGCCTGCTCTCCGCGCTGCTCACCCCGGGCAACGGGGTACAGCCAACCGACGCCGGCGCAGGCGGCGTCGGCACCAAGGCCATGGAGCAGTCGCAGGAGCGCGAGCGCATTGTCGGGCAGTGGTTCCTCTTCAGCCTGGTGTGGTCCGTGTGTGCGGGCGTGAACGAGCAAGGGCGCAAGCTGGTGGACAACTACCTGCGCGAGCTGGAGGGCCAGTTCCCGAGCAGGGACACGGTGTACGAGTACTTTGTTGACGTGAAGAACGGCTCGTGGGCGCACTGGGACACGGAGCTGCGGTCCAACTGGCGCTACAGCCCCGACACGCCCTTCCACCGCATCCACGTGCCGACGGTGGACACGGTGCGGTACCAGTACCTGGTGCGCACGCTCATCGACGCGAAGCAGCCGACGCTGATGGTGGGCCCCGTGGGCACGGGCAAGACCTCGGTTGTGGAGATGGTTATGCGCAAGCTGGACCCGGCCACGTTCAACCTCCTCACCATCAACATGTCCTCCAAGACGTCGAGCAATAACGTGCAGGAGATTATCGAGGGGCAGGTGGAGAAGCGCACCAAGGGCGTGTTTGTGCCGCTCGGCGGCAAGCAGCTGCTCACCTTCCTGGATGACCTCAACATGCCGGCCAAGGACACGTTTGGGTCGCAGCCGCCGCTGGAGCTGCTCCGGCAGTGGATGGAGTACGGCTTTGTGTACGACCGGGAGAAGCAGGTCATCAAGCACATCCGCGACATGCGCATTGTGGCGGCCATGGGTCCTCCTGGTGGCGGCCGCTCCATCATCTCGCGGCGCCTGCAGGCGCGGTTCAACCTGCTCAACATGACCTTCCCCACAGACTCGCAGATCAAGCGCATCTTCGGTACCATGATCAACCTCAAGCTGCAGGACTTTGATGAGGGGTGCAAGCCCGTGGGCAACATGGTCACGGAGGCCACCATCCACGTGTACAACTACATGTCCACGCGCATGCTGCCCACGCCCACGAAGATCCACTACCTCTTCAACCTGCGCGACATCTCCAAGGTCTTCCAGGGCATGCTGCGCGCGCACAAGGACTTCCACGACACCAAGGACGCCATCACGCGCCTGTGGGTGCACGAGTGCTTCCGCGTCTTCTGCGACCGCCTTGTCACGGAGCGCGACCAGGTGGAGTTCACCAAGCTGGTGGAGGAGAAGCTGCACGAGGTGTTTGACGTGTCGCTGTCCACGCTGTGCCCTGGGCGCGAGGTGCCCGTGTTTGCGGACTTCATGCGCGAGGGCCAGGACCCCGTGTACGAGGACGTGCGCGAGCACGACAAACTGAAGACGGTGCTGGAGGAGAAGCTGGAGGACTACAACGCCTCCGGGCACGTGCCCATGGACCTGGTGCTGTTCCGCGACGCGGTGCAGCACGTGGCGCGCATTGTGCGCGTCATTCGCATGCAGCGCGGCAACATGATGCTGATTGGCGTTGGCGGCAGCGGGCGGCAGTCGCTCACCCGGCTGGCGGCGTTTGTGCTGGAGCACAAGACGTTCCAGATTGAGGTGACGCGCCAGTACCGCATGACAGAGTTCAGGGAGGACCTCAAGGCGCTGTACCGCCAGGCCGGCGTGGAGAACAAGCCCACCACGTTCTTGTTTGTGGACACGCAGATTGTGCTGGAGGACTTTTTGGAGGACATCAACAACATCCTCAGCTCGGGCGAGGTGCCAAACCTGTTCCCGGCGGAGGAGATGGAGGAGGTGTTCTCCGATCTTCGGCCAGAGGCGAAGAAGGCCGCTGTCGAGGACACGCCCTCGTCCCTCACCAAGTTCTTCATCGAGCGCGTACGCAACAACCTGCACGTTGTGCTGTGCATGAGCCCCGTCGGCGAGGCCTTCCGCAACCGGCTGCGCATGTACCCTGGCCTGGTCAACTGCACGACCATCGACTACTTCTCCGCGTGGCCGCAGGACGCGCTGCTTGCCGTCGCGGACCGGTTCATGTCGGACGTGGACCTGACCAAGGGCATGTCTGCGGCCGTGCTGGGTGGCAATGCCGGCGGCGGCGACGGCGACGATGCGGCCGACAGCGTTGGTGGCGGGCTGCCGGGCCACGGCTCCGATGCCGGCGACGCAAAGGACGACGACGCCAGCCTGAAAAAGGGCAGCCACTGGGCGGAGCGGCTGCGGTCGGCGGTGCTGTCGACGTTTGCCGTGATCCAGCAGTCCGTGCTCACGGCGTCGCAGCAGATGCTGGACGAGGTCAAGCGGCACAACTACGTGACCCCGACCAACTACCTGGAGCTCGTGACGGGCTACAGGCTTCTGCTGGCTGAGAAGCGCAAGGAGCTTGGCGACGCCGCGGACAAGCTGATCAACGGCCTGGACAAGATTGACGAGACGCGGGAGAAGGTGGAGGTGATGAGCGTGGAGCTGGAGGAGACGAAGAAGCAGGTGGCGCAGTTCCAGCGCGAGTGCGATGACTACCTGGTCATCATCGTGCAGCAGAAGCGCGACGCGGACGACCAACAGAAGGCCGTGAGCGCGCGCTCGGAGAAGATTGGCATTGAGGCGCAGGAGTGCGAGAAGCTTGCGGCGGACGCCGAGGCAGACCTGAAGGAGGCCCTGCCGGCGCTGCAGGCGGCCATGGACGCGCTCAAGTCGCTGAACAAGAACGACATCAGCGAGATCAAGGCGTACACCAAGCCGCCAGACCTGGTTGCCATGGTCATGGAGGCGGTGATGGTGCTGCGCAAGTCCAAGCCGGAGTGGTCGGAGGCGAAGCGGCAACTGGCCGACCCCAACTTCATCAAGCAGCTGGTGGAGTTTGACAAGGACAACATGTCGGACAAGGTGTTGCGGAAGATCCACAGCTACGTGACGCGCCCGGAGTTTGACCCGGACCAGGTTGGGCGCGTGTCCAACGCGGCAAAGTCGCTGTGCATGTGGGTGCGGGCCATGGACGTGTACGGGCGCATCTTCAAGGTGGTGGAGCCCAAGCGGCTCGCGCTGAAGAAGACACAGGACGCGCTTGCCGCCAAGCAAAAGTCGCTTGCCGATGCGCAGCGCAAACTGAAGGAGGTCACGGAGAAGGTGGAGGAGCTTCAGCGCAACTACGAGGCCAAGCTCAAGCAGCAGCAGGAGCTGGCGGAGAAGAGCCGCGTGACGGCGCTCAAGCTGGACCGCGCGGCCAAGCTGGTGACGGGCTTGGCCGGCGAGCGCTCGCGCTGGGAGCAGAGCGTGGCGGAGCTGCGCGTGAGCATGGGCTACCTCGTTGGCGACTGCCTGCTCGCCGCGGGCTTCCTGTCGTACCTGGGACCGTTCACCTCCACGTACCGAGACAGCGTGGTGCAGCGGTGGCTGCGCCACGTGCGCAGCTGCGAGATCCCGTGCGACCCCAACTTTGACATGGCGCGGTTCCTGGCCAAGCCCACGGACGTGCGCTTCTGGAACATCCAGGGCCTGCCCTCGGACCGCTTTTCCACGGAGAACGGCGTGATTGTGACGCGCGGGCGGCGCTGGCCGCTGATGATTGACCCGCAGGGCCAGGCCATCAAGTGGATCAAGAACATGGAGCGCGAGCACGGGCTGAAGGTGGTGGACTTGCAGATGCCGGACTACATCCGCACGCTTGAGAACGCCATCCAGTTTGGCACGCCCGTGCTGATGCAGAACGTCGGGGAGGAGCTGGATCCCTCACTTGGGCCAATCCTGAACAAGGCGTTCACCAAGGTGGGCGGGCGCCTCATGCTGCGGCTCGGTGACAAGGAGATTGAGTACAATCCGGACTTCCGCTTCTACATCACGACCAAGATGGCCAACCCGCACTACACGCCGGAGACGTCCACAAAGACGACCATTGTCAACTTTGCCGTGGTTGAGGAGGGTTTGGAGGCGCAGCTGCTGGGCATCGTGGTGAGCAAGGAGCGGCCGGAGCTTGAGGAGCAGAAGAACGAGCTGGTGACGAAGATTGCGTCTGGCAAGAAGAAGCTGGTGGAGCTGGAGGACCGCATCCTGCACCTGCTGAGCACGGCCAAGGGCTCGCTGCTTGACGACGAGGAGCTCGTCAACACGCTCAACTCGTCCAAGGTGACCTCTGTGGAGGTGGGCGAGCAGCTGGTGGTGGCGGAGCGCACGGAGGCGGAGATTGACGAGGCGCGCGAGGGCTACCGCGCCTGCGCGGAGCGGGCGTCCATCCTGTTCTTTGTGATGAACGACATTGCGTCCATCGACCCCATGTACCAGTTCTCGCTCGCGGCATACATCAACCTGTTTGTGAAGAGCATTGACAGCAGCTCCAAGGCGGCCGGCTTGGAGCAGCGCATCGAGAGCATCAACGACTACCACACGTACGCCGTGTACCGGTACACGTGCCGCGGGCTGTTTGAGAAGCACAAGCTGCTCTTTGCCTTCCACATGAACTCGAAGATTCTGGAGCGCGCCAACAAGATCCAGATGAACGAGTACAACTTCTTCCTGCGCGGCGGGCAGGTGCTGGACCGCGATGCGCAGATGCCAAACCCGGCGCCGTCGTGGATCAGCTCCGAGGCGTGGGACAACATCACGGAGATGGAGCGCCTGCTGCCCAAGTTCACGGGGCTGGCCGCCTCCTTTGAGCAGATGCTTCGGGACTGGCACACGTGGTACGTGTCACCCGAACCGGAGGCCGCCACCCTGCCTGGCGAGTGGGAGAACGCGTGCAACGAGCTGCAGCGCATGGCAATTGTGCGCTCGCTGCGGCCGGACCGCGTGTCTGTGGTGGCGACCAACTTTATTGTGAACAACCTCGGGCAGCGGTTTGTGGAGCCGCCGCCGCTGGACATGCGTGCGGTGCTGTCGGACTCGCGGCCACAGACGCCGCTCATCTTCGTGCTCTCCGTGGGCGTGGATCCGACGAAGCAGCTGATGGACCTGGCGGACCGGTGCAACATGACGGAGCGCTTCCACACGCTGTCGCTCGGGCAGGGGCAGGCGCCCATCGCTGAGCGGCTGCTGCGGGAGGGCACGAAGCACGGGCACTGGGTGTTCCTGGCCAACTGCCATCTCTCGCTGAGCTGGATGCCGTCGCTGAGCAAGATTGTGGAGATGCTGGAGGTGAACAAGCCGCACCCGGACTTCCGGCTGTGGCTCAGCTCCAAGCCCAACCCGCAGTTCCCCATCTCCATCCTGCAGGCCGGCATCAAGATGACGACGGAGCCGCCCAAGGGCATCAAGGCCAACATGAAGCGCCTGTACACGACGCTGACGGAGGACCAGTTTGAGCGCGTGGGTGCGGTGACCAAGTACAAGAAGCTCATGTTCTGCCTGACCTTTTTCCACAGCGTGCTGCTGGAGCGGCGCAAGTTCCAGATGCTTGGATGGAACGTGCAGTACCCCTTCAACGACTCCGACTACGAGGTGTCTGAGAACCTGCTCGGCCTGTTCCTGGACGAGTACCAGGAGACGCCGTGGGATGCGCTCAAGTACCTGATTGCCGGCATCAACTACGGCGGGCACGTGACGGACGACTGGGATCGCCGGCTGCTACTCACCTACATCAACGAGCTCTTCTGCGAGGACGCGCTGAACGTGGAGCACTTCCGCGTGTCGTCGTCCGACCTGTTCTATGTGCCCACCGACGGCAGCCTGCAGTCGTACAAGGACTACGTTGCGTCACTGCCCAACTCGGACCCGCCGTCCGCCTTTGGGCAGAACGCCAACGCGGACATTTCCAGCATGATTCGGGAGGCGCGCACGCTGTTGGACACGCTGGTGGCGCTGCAGCCCGCGGTGACGACGGAGAAGGGCGGCAGCCGGGAGGACGTGGTGCTTGAGCTGGCGCAGGACATGCTTGAGCGGCTGCCGGAGAAGATTGACTACGACGCGACCGCCAAGCTGCTGGCTGTGGAGCCCAACCCGCTCAACGTGGTGCTGCTGCAGGAGATTGCGCGGTACAACGCGCTGCTGTCGCTGATGGAGCGGCACCTGATTGCGCTGCGCAAGGGCATCCAGGGCCTGGTGGTGATGAGCTCCGATCTGGAGGAGATTCTCACGTTCATCTTCAACGGGCAGGTGCCGCCGGTGTGGAAGAAGACGTATCCGTCGCAGAAGCCGCTGGCCGGGTGGATGCGCGACCTCATCCAGCGCGTGGACTTTTTCCGGCAGTGGGCGGTCACGGGGCGACAGCCGCTCATCTACTGGATGTCTGCGTTCACGTTCCCCACGGGCTTCCTGACGGCTGTGCTGCAGAACGCCGCGCGCAACAACGCCGTGTCCGTTGACACGCTCTCGTGGGAGTTCCCTGTGATGACGCTGGATGATGTGAACATTGTGGAGCAGCCCAAGGATGGCGTGTACATCAAGGGCCTGTTCCTGGAAGGTGCAGGGTGGGACAAGAAGCGCGCGTGCCTGGAGGAGGCTGCGCCGATGCAGCTGGTGTGCTCCATGCCCACCATCCACTTCAAGCCTGTGGAGAAGAAGGCCACAAAGAAGAACGTGTATGCGTGTCCTTGCTACTACTACCCGAACCGTGCCGGTGAGGGCGGCGCCTCTGCATGGTCGTTTGTGATTGCTGTGGACCTCAAATCCGGCGACAGGTCGGCTGAGCACTGGATCAAGCGCGGCACCGCTCTTCTCATGAGCCTCGAAAACTAGTGCTTGGGTGTGTGTGTGTGTGTGTGTGTGTGTGTGTGTGTGTGCGTGTGTGCGTGTGTGCGTGAGAGACAGTGATATGCGCAGAGAGTGTGTGAGAGACATTGTGGCCGGTTGGTTATCACAGCAAAGAACGGTGTTGGTGGCTTGTTGGCTTTGGTTGGTTGAGTGATTTCTTCCCCCGTTTTTCCTTCTGTCTTGTAGTCAATGACATGCTTCTATTGTGTGTGTGTGTGTGTGTTTTGTGCCCGTGTCTATGTCTATGCGTCTGTTTCTTGTCTTGCTTGGCCGTTTGTAACAACCTTTCTCATCATTGAAATGAAATAACACCTGACACAACAAAGCAAAGCAGCGAGTTGCTGTGTTGTCGAAGAACTGAATGAATGATTTGATCATCACGTCTGCCAAAAAAAACCGCAAACACATGCACTAAACAGTTGAGACGTTCTAATGCTTGGCAGCCTTTCTTGGAGGTTCTCTGCTGGGCATCTGTAGCAATGGCTGCAAGATGTGTTGTTGTTGTTGTTGTTGTTGTTGTTGTTGTTGTTGTTGTTGTTGTTGTTGTTGTTGTTGTTGTTGTTGTTGTTGTTGTTGTTGTTGTTGTTGTTGTTGTTGTTGTTGTTGTTGTTGTTGTTGTTGTTGTTGTTGTTGTTGTTGTTGTTGTTGTTGCTGCTGCTGCTGCTGATGATGATGATGATGATGGGTGTGTGACGAGTCGCTTTGCCGGGCAGATGCAACAAGGCTATGGGCGGGAGCGGGATTCAGGTCATGCCCAAGACCAGGCTTCAGGTCTTTAAAGTACTTCGCCCAGACACGCGTGAAGGAGGAATACACAATTGGTTTCAAGTCCTCTCGCCCAATCTCGCGCGCCAGCATCGGAAACGCCACCTTATATTGCTCATACACTGATTTCTTCGTCATTGTTGACGGCAGCATGAGCAGCGAGCGTCCAACGCTCTGCCCAGACTGCACCGCTGTGCTCAAAGGACCAGAAGTATGCGCCCCCCTGCCGGCGGTGTTGGTGGGAGGCATGCTAGCATTGCAGGCCAATTCTCTCGTGTTGCCAGCCATTCCTTCGGTGTTGGTGTCACGTGCTGCTGCAATTTGGTGCTCTGCCTGCAGACGCTTGAGAAAGCGAGAGATGATGTCTGTGTGGGGGCGACAGCTACCTCTGGTCTTCCCGCGCTGCGAATCCGTGAACGGGAACGCGTTGCTGCCCGTGACAGACGTGAGGTGTCGGCCAAGCGTGTGCGGAGACAACTGCACAATGGCTGCAAACGCACGCTTGCACACCTGCTGGCCGCGGATCGTGTATGCAATCGAGGACCGGCCCACCCGCGACGCAGGCCCACCCGGCGCCAGCGCCACCTGTTGCTGATGATGGTGTTTGTGCTGTGGCGATGGCTGGGGTGGCAACTGGTGTGCTTGTGGTCGTTGTTCTGCTCGCTGTTGCTGCTGCCCCCCTCCTGTCGAGTGGTGCGACAGCGGCAAGGCCTGTGCCGGTGCGTGTGGGCGACGCCGCACTGGAGGAGACAGCTTGGTGACAGTGAGCGGGGCCTTGGGAGTTGCGCGTGGCAAAAGCACGGTTGATGTGAGAAGCGGTTGCCCCAACACCTCTTCTGGATCAGCGATGCGGGTGCTGCTTTGGGCTGTGGGCACAGCAGGGGCGTGCGCAGCACCTTCCGCTAGCGTGCAAGCGGGCTGTTGAGGTAGTGAAGACGGAAGGAGGGGGCTTTCTTGTGTGGTCCGAGGCGGCAGCAGCTCAGATGTAGCACGGTGGAGTGGAGCTGTTGTGCTGGGTTGAGCGGAGTTGGAGCTTGCAATGGAGGTGGCGCAGGACGTGCTTGCTGCTGTCGTTGTCGTTGTTGCTGTTGTTGCTGCCGTCAGTGCTGCTGTTGTTGCTGTCACCACTGTTGGTGATGTAGTTGTTGTGATGGTTGCTGTTATTCCTGATGTGGCGTCATCGCCGCTGGACGCGCCATGAAGTGTGGCATCTGACGTTGGACAGCTCGCCAAGACAAAGAATGCTGCGCGTGCAAAATTGATTCTGGTCTCCTTTGTCTGCGTTCGGAATGAAGTGGCTATATCCAAGGCGTTGGGTACTCGCTGCACACAACGACATTTGCATTCATACTTGCGCATCCAGGCAGCAGCCTGGGATCGCGGCGAAGACGCGCCACTCGTGTCCTCCTCACCGTCATCGTCCCCATCGCCGTCATCGTCGCCGTTGCCATTCCCTTCAACAGGCTCAGCAAGCTGAGTGGCAGCAGTGCTGTGTCTGGAATGGTGAGGGTCGCCTTGAAAAGCTTGCTGCGTCCCAGACCCGGCCCTCGACACGCTGTCGGTGTCGCTGCCGTTGTGTGCACTGTGTTCCTGCACAGACGGCAGCTGTGCCTGTGAGCTGGCGTGCTCCATCGTGCAACAGCGACCTGGGTGTTGCCTGTGGGAGGATGTCAGCAAGCCAACACAGGAATGTGTCGCTTGCTTGCTTGTCTGGCTGTCTTTTCGGGCGTGGGTGGGGGGGGGGTGTTGTTGAT